GCTGTACTTTACAGCAGTCAATGGCGACACACCTCGTGTCGTCGTTCCCGCCCATGATGATTTGAGATTGCGCACGAAAGATATGAGTGTCACGATGCCCCAACAAGTGGGCATCGCGGTAGAGAAAAGACTTACTTCACGGTAAGCCGTGACTTCTCCTGGACTTGCCAGCATGAGTTTGTGCGCAAATACATTGGCGCTTGCGAAGTTTGCCAACGGGTGAAGCCTAGTCCTTCATCCCGTGCACCCTTGCAGCCTCTACTGATTCCGGCAGAGTGCTGGCAGTCCGTATCGATGGACTTCGTCTTGGATTTCCCAAAGGCTCACAAGAATACTCGTATTGTGTGTTTGTTGATCGGTTCAGAACGATGGTACATCTTGTTGTTGTACCGGAGTCGATCACAGCCGAGGGCTGTGCTCGTGTCTTTATCGATACTATCTTCAGACTTCACGGGTTACCCCGTGAACTCGTGTCTGATAGGGACCCCCGCTTCATAGCGGAGTTCTGGCAATCCGTGTTCCGTTCACTTGGAACACGTTTGAGGATGTCGACTTCTGACCATCCTGACACAGATGGTCAGACGGAACGCGTCAACCGCGTCCTCGAAGAGATACTTCGCGGGTATGTCCACTCGCTTACGAGTTATAGTGCATTCTTGCCCATGGCAGAATTTGCTATCAACAACTCGATGCATGCCTCGACAGCGCATACACCGTTCCTCGTGAATGGCCTACGACATCCACGTTAACCCGCCTTCTTAAAGTGTGACTCTTGTTTAAGGAAGAGGTGGACTCGCTTGAACGAAAACCGATCTGGTTCTTGCTCATCACACGTCGACAATGGTGTCGACGTGATGGATGCCGATGTCGGTCACATCGACATCGATGATGATGATGACGGCAATGCTGGTATATTCAGCATCGACAATGACTGCTACAGTGAAGACGATGACGCCCTCACTAGTAAAGACAACGATCTTTCAGAACTTCACACAAAATGAACTGCTGCTAACAAGGATGGGTCAGCAGCGGAATTCTGCTGACTCGCAAAGCGGTTGTCCGCTTCGCTTGAGACTCTATTGCAGATGCAATTTACTAACAAAAAGAAACGCAGACAAACATTGAAGGGAAAATGTTCTTCATTTGATGAAGAACATTTATTTTTACTGTCTATAGTATATCTACCGAAACACCCAGAGAAAAACGTGGGCAGCAGTAATTTACTGCCCAAGTACATCGGTCCATTTCTTGCATTGCGCCGCATGAGCAACGCATATACGATTGAACTGCCTTGTAGGATTCAAACGGCATCTAACGTTTTACGATTGACGTATCCTCCCGTACTATCAGTACGAGCCCGTTTTGAGAGGCGAAGAACACCTCCCCGGTTAAGGACCGAGATTACCTTTGAGTGGTGCATTTCAACGAGCCAGTCTGTTCGACTAGCGAAGCGACCTGCTCACGCAGTTGAGCAATGTCCTGACGAGCTGCAGTCAGCTCGTTACGAAGAGAGCGAATCGAACGTTTGTTCTTAAGTTGCGCAAACGCAAATGCGGCACGATCGTTCGAACAATCGTACGCGAAGGACTTGTAATTGTGCTTTACTATCTCATGAAGCTCATAACGCCAAGTCCATTTATGAGCCAGGTCTTCGTGTAACTGATCTGCTACACGTTTCAGTTCCTGAACATCAGCTGATCCGACCCTCGACCGGATCGGGTGTTCCCGCAATCACCACATCCTTTGGTGGATTTTGGCGGTGGTCAACGCTTTCTGGTGGAGCGTATTTTGAGCCACCGCGACGTGAAGGGCGTCCGGACGAGTTATCTCATCCGCTGGCGTGGCTATCCACCGTCCCAGGACAGCTGGGCGCCTCGCGCCCAGCTGATTGTTGATGTTCTGGGTCTCGTCGAGCGATGTGACGAGACCCGCCCGCTGCATTCGAAGAAGGGTCATCGTAAAACGACCTCCCCGAACGCGAGTACAGGGATTGCAAAGTGTCAAACCCTTCTTACATCTCAAAAGAGATTCGCGCCCTCCAGAAGGGAACATCAGGGAGGTGGGCCTCCCTAGGGGCAAGATTTGCATTGTCCAGGCAACCTGGACAAGATTTACCCCAAGAGAGACATGGTAATTCTGCCTATCTTGACAATCGGTGCAACTTGTATTGTACACCGACTGGGTTACGCTTTTCAAACCTGATGCGTGCTGCATCAAATTCCACCGAGCCAGGCCTCACGGCCAGTACACTCGATCTTATGTATGAAGGCGTTCCACCCTTGCACCAAGGCCTTACTGTCTCGACCACGGTTGCCGTGGTACCACCGATGTTTGACAATCACATCGGTGAAGAACTCTTCCTCTGTACGAATAGTTTCCGTGCTGAAATTAGGAAGACAGATCCTCCTACAGTAAAAAAATGGGATTCGATGCCGTGCGGTTGTCATACCGGCCAATTGATCTACTCCTTGGATGATGGCATCCAAGTAGACTCCACTTGAGGATCATAGCGCAGGACATTGCGGTTCCTGGTCTCTTAAGTGGTGTCAGCATGAGCACTGCCACCAGTGGCAGCTCAATCCCTCAATTTGCTTCTCTCGTGGTGATGCATAGGTGCATCACTACCATCACCACGCGTCCTATTGTCAGATGGACTTGCGTGAGACGAGGACTCGTCAGACGAATCTCTCGGTCCGAAGATCTCGGACATGATGCCGCCACGTTCCCCAGAGCCAGTCAGCCTGACTCTTGCAGTGTCTGCCATGGATGATCCGGAGACGTGAGGTGTTGCCTCCGAGTCGGATGGATCATCCAACTCGCCAGAATCGTTGAGCTCTATTTCAGGCTCATCGACATTGCGAGTCAAAGCAGCCGCTGCAGACGCAGCGGATATGTCTGTCGCACGTGGTGACTCACACGTGGACTATTCACAGCAGGCACCGCCTGTTGCTGAATCGCAACACCAGGCCAAGGCCTACCTGCTGCTGAAGCAAGAGAAAAACTCTCTTCGGCTGCACGCATGCGTGCAGCCGCTCCGGCAGCACATCACACGGACTTTGACGCCATGCGATAAATTGGCAAATGAGTTGGAATTTGACCAACAAGTGCTCCCCTTCCCAGAGTGATCTAACGGTGATCACCCCTTCCCAATCAGTTTAATCAATGAACGGGTGACTGATGGTTAAGGGGGGGTAATGTAACGGGGTAGCACGTTACATGATATTGACACCAAACGGTGTCAATAATATCCATCTAGGGTAATATTGGCAGGGAATTGTCACGCTAGGGAGATTGTCTAGCGTGACAATTTCCTGCCAATATTACCCGAGATGAACAATCTTGAAGGAAAATTATCCCCTTGTAAAATAATATTCATGCGCTGCTCAAAAATTAGTTGATAAAAGACATGTCAATCAAGGTTACCACCAATCGCTGCTAGACGCGCGCAATAAGTAGTGAGCAGGTTTTCGTCATACGACAATGTGGATTATTATAGTTGGATAAAGACTGCAGTTATATTAATAGGTTTACTATGATAAAAAACAGTTTTTGCTTTTTACCTCTACTCAAAATAGCTGGTTAAGTAGAATAGCTACCTCTGCACGTACAAGTGTACGTAAAGTGTCGTGGGCACCCCGAACAAAGGGTTCCCGTGACATGAAGCGTCGTAGATACAGTAAATGCAATAGCTCTTAAGATGCTGGGCAGGCCGAGCTTTCGCCGAATCTGTGCCTGGGTCATAGGATTGTATAATAGTATCCTGTGCAGTTTGCAATATCCTCAGTAGGTTCTTGCGAAACAACCATACATATAAGTCAGCATCCTTAAAAGCGCCGAGCCTTCTCCATTGATCAAATAGATGCTTTCAGTGGCGATGTGCAATAACCAAGCTAGAATGCATAACTTTTGTTGATCGACTCGCAGCGGAACGCCCAGATACGGATCACGACAGATCTTGAGTAGTCCAATTTCAGAGTGGAACCCTGCTACACTTCGGGCGATACAGCTTCTGTGCGGTGGTTGTAAGGATGCTCTTATTGAAAGGATGTTTGTCCAAGTGATCGATGGTGTGGCACAACCACTTACAGCATCCATTTGCAATGCGATATCAGCAATTTGATGCTCAATATAACAACGTGTAAATTGAGATCGCGTAGATGCTAGAGCTTTTGAGTACATGGGTTGTTCTATGGAGTAGAATCATGGACAAAGATGTAGCAGCGGATAAAGAGAAGTCGTCGCAGCGTTTCTTGTCCTAAGGATGTTTTTGTTGAATGCGAAAAACACAAAATAGAAATACTTTACTTACGGACGCGTGCCAGACGCGTCCTCAGTGGCTTACTCAATGCAAAGTCAAATCTCTCAGTGCAGCAACCTCTGCCGCTGCCACACGTTTCCCTACGCATCGAACATTTTTAGAACTTCCTCTTATACGGACCAATCTAGCACTATCTAGCAGACTCCACTGGCGTACCCGGCTAGGTATGGAGTATCGCTTCCAACAATTTGGGCTTATATATTCGGACCGAAGAGCGTTTTTGTGCAGCTAAACATTCTGTCGTGTTAGACTGGACCAGGTGTCTTGTTGAGTCCTCAGACGTCCGTTGCGTACAAGAAACATACTACCTGGATATAATCCACACTTGTTATATCCGATTATTATTGATAGTCTACGTTATTATCGTGTCGTGAATTGAATGATGGACATCATGGCTTAATCCCTTCTTTGTTTCGCTCATATCACCTGGACATATTGCAAACAGGATGTCTTTGCTAATCGTACCCCGACAAAGCTAAAAGTACACGCGAAACCGTTCACTCATATGAGTGCAAATATGACCGTGGGCTTATACTTGACTGAATCATCAACAACAACAGCAGCATAGATCAGCGTGCATTTCTTACCACGAAAAGTATCTTTGCTGTAGCCCACTCGCGCAAAGGTGTTTGCATTCGACCAGAGACGAATCTATCCTGCCATCAAGCTGCTCTGCATGAGCTCACATGCTGAGCGTGCTCGTTGTTGGGCATCCGCGACGCAGCAGCTCGGCAACAAGCTCAGAACGCACAATAGTCACCTCTTCCTTCGATGCCATGTCCTTTACCCTCACGACACCCTTGGCCAACTCGTCCTCGCCAATTACCACCATATACGGCGTGCCACGTTCCAAAGCGTAATGCAATTGCTTTATAAACTTGGGATTCTCCGTCTGCATCACCTCAGCCGAAATGTTCGACTGCCATAGCTGTTTGCACAGCTCCAATCGCGGTATCAATAACCCATTGCTTGCGGACGCGACCAGGACTTGTGATGGCGGGCCCGCAATAGCATTTTGCTTCTCAGCATGAGCCTGCAGGATGCCAAAAATGCGCTCAATGCCAAGACTGACGCCCACACAAGGAATCTGCTGGTCCGTCGCGGAGAACATACCAACGAGATTGTCGTATCGTCCACCAGCGGCAATGGAACCAACTTCGTGCTCCGGACTTGTCAAGACGAACTCGTAGATGAGACCCGTGTAGTAGTCTAGTCCACGAGCAAGACTTAGATCAAACGATATATAATCGAGGACGCCCATGGCCTCAAGATAGTTGAACAGCAGCGCCAAGTCGTCCATAGCACGACGGGCGTTAACGTTGTCGCCAAACATATTCTCCTTCACTAGCTGTTCGTGCAAGTCGCGCGGTGGGCCCACTTTGCACACAAACGGCTCGATACGGTCAGCCACCTCCTCCGAAATGTCCTTTTCCTCCACCATCTCGCGTCGTACTTCGCTCCATGGCTCCTTATCCAGCTTGTCAATTGCACTACATGTCGTGCGAAACTTGTCAGCCGGTACGCCGCAGATGGCAAGAATGGCGTCCAGGAGCAATCGATGACTCACTTTTACCTTCACAGCGCCAAGCTCTGGGAACTGCTGCAGTACTTCTATGCCTATCGACAGGACCTCAGCATCCGGAAGCATCGGTGCGTATGTACCAGCGATGTCGAAGTCACACTGGTAAAACTCACGGAAACGACCGCGAGCCATCTGTGGGTTGTCACGGCGATACACGCGAGCGATATGGTAGCGCTTAATATTGCCAGGGCTGTGTAGGGCCATGAAACGAGCGAATGGCACTGTCAGGTCATAACGCAGCGCCAGTAGTTCACCACCCTGGTCAGCTAAGTCGTAAATAAGCTTGCTGTCCTCTCCATACTTTCCCGTAAGCGTTTCCTTCAGCTCAAAGACGGGCGTCTCAATCTCGACGCCGGCGTGACGCTTGAACACCATGCGAATCTTGTTAAAGATCTTCTCCCGCAATGCCATCTGGTGCGGCAGAAAGTCCTGGGAGCCCTTGGCAATCTTCGGTTTGCGGCGAGCACCGCCACTACCAATGCGCACAAAGAGTCCTTCCAAGAACAACGAAAAGCTGGATGGACGCAAATCAAACGCCGACTTTTCCACACTCGTCTGCCACGTGTCTCCAAAAGCAAGCAGATGCTGCCGCACCGCCTGGCAACCAAGACCGATCTTTAGCTCTTCTTTGCTGCTTTTCTTTGTGGTCTCCTTTTCCTGCTGCTTCTCCAGTTTTTTGCGGCGCTTAGCAATAATCTTGCTGCGCTGAGCTTCCGACAAAGTCGCAAGCTTTTCGTCTTCCTTGGCCGCCGCCGCCGCAGCTTTAGCCGCTGCCTCGTTCGCCTTTGCAGTCTTTTCAGCAAGATGAAGTTTTAGCTGCGATTCCTCGTCCTGGAAAAACTGCAACGATGGCACAAGCTCGCGTGCAAGTGCAGCCGCAGTAGTCTCCACAAGCGCAACAGTGTGTATCGTATCTGACACGTCAGCAGCCGTGGCACCAAGCAGCTGAAGACGATCAGCACTGCCCTGAAGCAGCACGCGCAGCGCGTCTGTTGTGATCAAGAGCGCTGTTTTCAACGCTTGTGGGTGGATATCCACATCAGCAGAACTGCCGCAAAGCACAAGGCCATTGACCTCAGCTTCTACGGTCTTGTAGGCGCTCAGCACAGCGTCGCGGACAGGACCGTGGTACTGCGGGACGCAGCGCACACTGGCCATGTCCGTGACGCCCCCTTGCTGGCTGTTGATATACTTGGACCCGTCCAGCAGCAGCCACAAGTTCTGCGCCGATGTGATAATACCGCGATGAGGCCGCGCGACGTCCACAAACTCGGCATCAAAAGCTCTCGCGTCGATGCGCAGCGTCTCGCACGTGATGGCAGCCACGGCGTCAGCCACCGGCAGCAGAGCGCGAGCCCCACCGACAGTCAGCACCGTCTCTGCCAACAGCGTGAGTGGCATGCGGTTAATGACCTTCTGTTCTGCTGGAGAGAGAGCCACGGGCAGGTCAATAGAGGAGCTGGACACGGGCGCGCGCGTCTCGTTCTTCTGGTTCAGTAGCGCCGCCACGTACTCTGCGTTCTCAATCGACTGGAGGTGCAGCAGACGGTACAGGAGCAGCACGAGAGTCGCACGACGCACGGCAAGCGACGCAGAAGAGGCAGAAGAGACAGAAGAGGAGAGAGGGGACCAATGGAGCGTGAAGGGAGCGGCAGATGCCGACGCAGTAGCAGCTGGCGCGTCAAGAGCGACGGCCGCGTCGAGTGCAGCTACGGTACAGACGTCTGCGATTGCGAGACGAGCGACGCCGATCGTCACGCGCGTGGACGCCATGGCCGCAGCAAGTGAAGGCAGGGAGATGACGCCGTGGATGTGACTGGTGGAAAAGCGAGTGGTCCGTCGTACTTAGTGCGACACAAACCCCGCAAGCCAAAAAAAAAACAAAGCGCTTGTGTGCGCAGAAAAAAGCACGTTTCTCACACGACAAAAGTCGACGTCGGGGTCGACACAAAACATGGCCGCTGCCCAAACGCGAGCACGTCGCGTGCTCTTCCTCGTCTCGTTCCTGGACATGCTGGGCGTCTCGATGATCCTGCCGTCGCTCCCACAGTACGTAAAGTCCATGGACGCTAGCGCTCTGGTCTTTGGCCTGCTCATGTCTCTCTACGGCTGTCTCCAGTTCCTAGCGGCGCCGCTCGTGGGTAGTTTAAGCGACCGCTATGGGCGTCAGCGCGTGCTCTTGTCGTGTCTTGCAGGTACTTCCCTGAGCTACTTGGTACTGGCTCTTTCCTGGAACATTTACGTGGTCTTCATGTCTCGGATCTCTGCAGCGCTGTTCAAACACACACTGGACGTTATTAAAGTGGCCGTGACTGATGGCGAGCCAGCCAAGAGACGCGCCATGTTCATTGGGAGACTTAATGCTGCTATTAATGCTGGATTCATTATAGGCCCAACGGTCGGAGGCTACATGAGCTCGATCCCTAATGGGTTTAACTATGCGACGCTGCTGACGTCGGTGCTCTTTGGAGTGAACTATTGCCTCGTGTCACTCTTTTACTGTGATGTGGAGAGCTGGGAAGCTGTTAAGTCGGTGGATGAGGTTGCGGCTACGTTAAAAGGCAGAGAAGAGGACGAATGGGATTGCTGTGTGGACTGGAGACACGTCCTGCGCAATGCGTGGATGAAACTGCGCGGGATTCGAGACATTGTGAAAGCGTCCAAGTCGGCGCAGACACTGCTGATGGCGAGACTGCTGCTGACGATGGCAGCTATTTTGTATCGCACGCACTTCTCCGTGCTGCTCGAGGACAAGTTTGGGATGGATTCGAAGGACCGTGGATTCATGCTGAGTTACATGGGCCTGCTAGGTTTCGTCGGTAGCTTCTCGGTTGGGTCGATCACAAAGTTTGTGAAGTCCGAGATGTCGGTGCTGCAACTGTCGGTTATCGCATACGCGATGACGTTATTTGCACTTTCGGGTGCCACAACAATTCGTACAGCATATTTGATACTTGTACCTCAAGTTATTTCTATCAGGTAAGGGGCTTCGTGTGGCGCTCATCGCGTTTGGAAGTATCTGATCCGCGCGCGCTTTGCGCTTCGTACCCTGTAGCATCATTCGTGCCAGCTCATTGGCGCTGCAAACTACGCTCGTTTCACAAGAACATGTAGGGACCTTTATGGGTGTCTCTTCGTCCCTGACGGTAAGTCTACGTTGACCCTGTACACGTATTCCGCTTGCTGATCGTGTGCTATTTCTGGACGATCATGTAGTCCGTATCTAGAACCGTCGGACCAAGTAAGTGTCAATGAGGTCATTTTGTCTCCTCGTATTTGCTACACGTTTTCCCATGTCTCACGAATGTGGCTTGCTACAAATGCGCTCTAGTTCTATCAGGATGGACGTACGTTGCTTCGATCGATGGGCCAGCATACGGTGCAGCATGTCTTGCTGCGTTCAGCGCTGGGCTTTTGTGCTTCTCACCGCACTTTATAAAAGCGAGCAGCGACGTACACGGTACTGACGTCGAGGGCAAGAGCAAGTAGAAGGTCAGCGAAGAAGAAGACTGATGAGTACAAAATGCGTATCGTGTGTTAACGGGGCATGCTCGTAGCTGCCGATGGATTCGTCTGAGAATGATGGCCACATGGAGGCTCTGCTCTTCTTTGCACGCGGCGTTGTGCGAGCGAAGAGGCACACATCTATACATTGTGTTGAAGCTGCAGCTTTCTTCAACCAGCGTATTCTGTGGACAAGGCTCGCGGTCATGTGCCATTCCCACTTGACTGTCACGTAGTAGTAGCTTCGATGTGCTGCACTTACTGCCGCTGCTTCGTCTTGCTAAACACCCAGGTCAGAAGTTGCATGATTTTCTATTCTCGTCATCAATACTCGATATTGAAGCTGCATTAATCGATGTCGAGATGCGCCGTCGGGTACTGAGTGGTGTCGGCAACGGAATGAGCCGCAGACACTTGTGACCAGTCTGCTTGAAGTTTGACCAGTACATGCAAAGCTGCATTGCTCGTTTGCAGTTCGTTCATCCATCAGCTGCGTGCAAGTTACACAATGAACAGATGAGATAGTATCCCATTTCCTTCCAGACATTGCTGCTCGTGCTCGAATCATAAAGGCAGCAAAGCAGCCGTGTGGTGGTGCTGGAAGAGCTGTGATGGACACTAGTGGGGCTACATGCTTATGAACGAAACGACGCGGTTGAATGAGCCCCACTGTCATGGAACCGCAGATTTCGACTGGACTGGCCACGTCTCTGAGTTCCAATGCATCCAGAATCACACTTCAAGCAAAATCGTACATTTCCACTTCCGCAACATCGCTTGCTTCCTTCGTGGCTCTCTCTCCTTCTTTAACATTTCGCCACAATTTGAAAGACCTGGAGCGCAGGACCATCGCCACAAACTGTTCGTGCCAATTCTAGCGTTGGGAATATGCCGCTTGCAACTCAGTCTCCAGTTCTGCCAAATCATCACTTCCGCTGTCAAAGGCTACTGAACTGGATCGAGTAGACCGTCGAGAGCTGGGCACATTCCTTGGTGCAGCTGGAGGCTCACGAGCAGAAAGCGGTGCAACCAACTTTCGTGAAGCTGCTTGCCGAGCCACACGGGGAGCGCGAACCGCCTTTGGTTCTTTTTTGGCTCGACTTTGCTTTGGCTTTACTCCTTGCACACGACTTGACTGCTTCCGAGTCGCTCTTACTCGTGCCTTGGGCTTTTCTGTGGTCGCTGCATGGTTCACAGCTGGACCTCGTGCGAGTTCAGCCATCAATTCTTCCACACCACCACTCTCAGTATCGGATGCTGCGAGTGAACTCAAACGAGCGGAACGTCGTAGAGTGCTAGCAGCGTCGGATATTGACCCTTCCACATCATCGCTCTCAGTTTCGGATGCTGCCACTGAGCTCAAACGAGCGGAACGGCGTAGAGGACTAACGGGGTCAGGTAGCGTTACAACAGGGGATGAAACCACGGATCGAACTGTACCCGAGCGAGATGCGCCGTCGTCCGATGAAGCAGGTGACTTCTTCCGAGCTGTAGAGCGCGTGTTGACTCTATTAGCAGGGGCGCCTCTCTTTCGGCGCGGTCGACTGGCGCTTGTTCGAGCCGTGGCAATGGTGTCGAGTTCTGCCATCAAATCTGCCAACCCATCGCTCTCGGTATCTGACATGACGGAGCTTATCCGCGACGATCCCTGGCGTACTATCGATGATACTCGCTGTGTGCCTTTAGAATCGGTTGATGTCTGAGCAGATGAAGGTTGGTCACCGTCGAATGAAGTGGCCACCTCATGACGTTGTAGCTTTTTCGCGCTGCTTCGGGTGCACGTACGTTCAGCAGCACGTTTTGATAGTATGGTTCCTCGCTTACGCGGTGCCGGCTTGACTGAGGCTGGTGATGATGAAGGTGCGACTGCATTGAGGGCTAACGCACTGGCGTTGAGTTCTCTCTCTAGTTCGTCAATAGCGTCACTCCCAGTGTCTGATGCCATGGCGATCAACCGAGTCGACCTCCGAGGTTCGGCTGCGACAGATGTGCGAGCGCTGGTTATCAGCTCAGCAGTCAGGCCGATTTCTGCTTGAACCTGACCTTTGGACTCGCTGCGATCCGAAAGAACTGACAATGCTCTTGGCTTGCCCTTTACGCGCTGCTCCGCTGATGGCTCACCACACTTCTCGGGCTGAACAGAGCTTTTCGACCTTCCGCTTGCACGGACAGCGGTCTGCAAAGCCACTTGCTTGACTTTTGCTTTTGCTGCCGGATCGTGTACTGTGCTATTCCTCACCTTGAACGAAGGCGCCTGGTCAGTAAGACGACAGGAAATAGATGTAGACTGCTGTCGTCCCGGAAATGTGGGGGTGGCATCCAGCTCAGCTTGTAGTGCAGCCAGTCCATCACCATCCGCGATCGAAGACACAGTCCATGAATCTGCGATCGATAGTGAGCTCGCCACAGAATCACTCCTTGGTCGCTTTGTCGACAATCGAGTGTTCATGGTCCGAGCCGGATTCACCTTAGGTAACGCTGCGGGAGTCGATTTTCTCGAGACAATGCCGGTAGAAGGACGCTTTCTATCGTGCTTGCGGTTTGTACGCGTCACCGTCTTTCCTGGAGCTTTACATGTTTGAGTCTGGGATGATCCGATACCAAAACTTTGCTCCAATTCGTGCTCAAGATCAGCGAGGGCATCACTGTCTGCTTCACTGATTTCACTGAACGTTGACAATGATTTGCCATCGCGACCTCTCTTCAGTTTTCGAGGTGGCTGAGTCCGACTTGCTCCAACTTGGTCGCTTGAGATGTTTTCATGTAATTCCGACTCTAGCTCAGCTAGGGCAGCCTCACTATCGTCGACGCTGTGGTGCCTTCGGTAGGACCCACGCCGACTGGAAGTGACAGATACGGCCATTGCCCTGGATGCGGTAGGCATAACACTGCCATGATCGCTCGAATCTGAGATGACGCTGTGGTCATCTTTCAACGTGAGTGCACCGGTTGTGCTTTTGAGGTCGCGCGCAGCTGCCGCACGCACAACGCGATCACGCCTGCGAGCTTCTTGATTTGCTTTGTACTCTATGTACGAAGCCAATGCACGGGTCAGCTCTTGGCTATCATGCCCAGTCTCTTGAGACAGAGGCTTGGCAAGCCGGGATGCTAATACGACAACTTTAGCTTGACGCGCATCTAGTCCAGCGTTAGCATTAGATACAGATGGACCAGATCGCGTTCGACTCAAAAGGTCTTGGTAGCGCCCATCAAGCGTTTTTAGCTGTTCCACTCTGCTTCGATCAACCTGCCCAGACATGTCACATTGCGATGAAATAAGTCCGAGCCGTAAATGATAGCAGCAAATGTGGACAGACACTTACTAGCGCGTCTTTCGCCGTGGCAGTGTCGTCGTCATTAAGCGACAAGTCTCGACTGGCGTCCATCAAAGTTCGTGCTGTGCGCTCTTTCATGCGGACACGTGGTCCAAATCCCTGCAAGCAGCGAAGGAAGGCATTCTCCTGAGCTACCAACTGATGCATCATCGCTCTCACTTCACGAGCTCCAGCAGGGAACAGTTTGGCTCCTACTCCGGACATGACGCAATCAATCGTGAGCATCGTCGTCCAGTCCTGCGGGTCTGCATCGATTTTATGCTTGGGCGAACCGGGTTGCACCGAGTAGGCGCAGTACATGGCAAACACGCGGCCAATGAGGGCAGCAACATCAGCTTCCGATTCAAACTCCCCGTCGTGTTCGTCAATACACGAGACGGTTTCGTCCAGTGTCTGTTGCAGTATCGTCTTATGGACAGTCGTGGGTGTGCTCTCCCAGAACTCGACAAGGAAGGCGGCACTCATCCGCGCATCACGCCAAAGCCGCTTCCAGGCAGCGAACGTCACGACATTCTATCGACACAAAGAGCACGCGTGATGACACAGGAGATCAATACAATAGGAGCAACCAAACCTGCTGCTTTGCATAAGCGCAATGACCACTAGCAGACAATGGGCGGCAGACCTCGTGGAGAAAGCGAGCGCAGAGCTCCTGCAAGTCGTGGCGCACGACGGCCGCAAAGTGATGCAGCGAGTGCTCCCAGTCGACGTCTGGCGCCTCTCGTTCGCGCTGTTTCGGTGGACGATTGAAGCCGCTCGGTCGACGGGGCAGTGGCGGTCGAAGCGCGCGCCGACCACGTCCATCTCCGTCTCCATTCATAGCATACTGGAGCTTTTCTGTCACGAGAGACTTGTGTCCCGACAAAAGTGTCACAACCCGAAGATCAAACCCGAACGCACGCGAGCAGTCGGACCCGAGCGGGCAAGACTGCCCCGTCACAGATTCGTTCGAATCGACCGACACAATCACGGGAGACTTTAAAAAACACCACTTTCTGCCTAAAACACACACTTTTGCCTATCTATGCACGATTAATGACGGCTTCATATTTATCTCAAGTATTCCCTGCCAGCAGTTGCTCAGCCCTAGCGCTGTCCGCCGTAAGTGGAATGGACACGCTGGCCCGCGCGTCCATCATTGCACCTGTCAATACAGACACAGCGCATTAGGATTAATTTTTACGGAGGATAGTGTGCTTAAACATTGCCTAGTCGTGATTAAAATGGTAACTACAGTGTAAATCACAAGTTCGATGTATGGAATAAGGTACAAGCACTTAAGGAATATATGTCAACCTGCCCCTAGGTTCAAATCTACAATTCCGTTTGCTCACCTGAATACGCTCATGATAATCAGTCATGCCAACAAAGTACTTCCCACCTTGCTGTAGTAGATCTTCGAGCTTTAATGTTGCGTATGCATGCATAACTTTTTGCTACCGTAAAGTAGCACATCAAATCATCGTCGGCTTTGGCATTGATGTCTTTCTCTTCTCAATAATTACGTGCAACCTCTACAGTTCAGATCAGACTATTGTCATGCGGCATGGATAGCCCCCATGGTAGTCATGCGAAGAGAGATTAAACCAGGCGTTTCCTTCTAGCGCGTGCTTGTTGTAGATTATCGGAAGCTTGTACAATCGGACGAGTTTGAAACTTCTGCAGTCTTCGTTGTCGTGGGTCAGCCGCAAAATTCTCGATGTTGTGTTCACTTCACACAGCTGGTAGCGCCGTTGGTCCCGAATCGATTGCTACGGTAAATGCTTACAGCGAAGCCTTGGTCGACGGCGTCGTGTTTGACAGCCGCTATGGTATTCTGACTACTAGAGTTGTGGTGATGAGAGTTTTCGGGAATGTTACATTAAAGGTCGTAAGCCGGATGGACATTGGACCTCGCAGCCGAGAAAGGGACCATAGATCTGGAAGTTACAAGGGAATAGTGGCCGTAAGGGCCAATCGTGACGAGCGGTTAAGGTTACCGCTAACGGGGTCATAACGACCGACGGTACCAGTTAGACTGTGCCGTTATAGATCGTACTCAAACCACTAGTCGATCCGCCTGGTCGCTCAAGGTGGACCTCGGTTCCCCGTAGGACGCCCTGGCATCGGCCGACCTGGTCACTCATAGTTCGACTCGGTCCCTCAAGGTCCGGTGGCTACTAGCCACTCATCATTGCGAGCCCAGGTGCAATACAAAAATAGAGTAAAGGAGCTTAAAGGTTAGGATAACACTAAATACTACTTGAATTTGCGATCTAAGTAGCACGACGTGTCGTGCGCGAAGAAACTTGTAAGCCTACCGACCTGTTCCGAACCGGGAAACTGTTTGGCCCACCCGTCGAATAGACAGTTGTCAGTAGGATACAAGCGTAAGTAGAACTCCAGGAAGTACATTGGCCTGTAGGTTCGTAGAGCAGCACCCCTCAACTCAATCCCGCTATAGGAAGCGGTCTCCAAACCCTAGTGGTAAGGGAGAAGACACATAAAGGCCAAGCGGTTAACACCCCTGAGTCAAGTAACGGCCAGGCGTCGCCAGCACCTGAGACAACTGGTCATAAGACTACTCTAGGCTAATGTGATCAAGTGGCCGCCTCCATTGGACCCCGACTGATACATATACGCTCAGGGCCCCCCCCCAGGTCGACCTCCATCAAGGCTGACGTCGACATCATCACCAAGTCCTCCAAAGAGTGAAACCCACCAAGCCGACGGGTGCACAAGGTGAGTCAAGGTCCACAAGCGGCATCGGATACCCCCTCCGACAGTTGGCAGCCCAGCAAAGTGAGTAGTTTGGGGTCTTGTCAGACAGTTTTGACAACCAACTCCACCACAATGGTGCGCGTGCCTGATTTTCGGAAGACGCGGGATTTCACCGCGAATCCCGAGATGAAGAAGACTTTAAGGTCACGATAGAACTGAAGACTGAAGAATCACTGGAAGACCGACCGCCAGTGACACAAGAAGACAAAAACAAAGAGTCGAAGGACCGACCGTATCTTGGGAGGGGTCTGGTCAACATGGCCAAGGTCGAAATTCTTAAGAAAAACCTAAGCACCCTCCCTATGTCCTCGTTAAGGACGTCTTGGGTCATGATGCGTATCATGCCCCAGTGGGAGACCAACCGACGATAAAAAACGAGAATTTATGGTCCCCAAAACAACAAATCCTCCGGTCGCCAAGTCCAAACCGTAGAACACTGGGATTTAAGCGCCGGGGGACATTAAGTAGATAGGTCCCGATACCTCAGGACCATCGAAGGAGTCGAATCGTCGGTCGACGACGCAATCTGGAAATCTATGGTCCCCGACACCAAAACACCCCAAGATCACTAAGTCCAAGCCAAAAACACGAGACGAATACGCCGGTGTACACCAAGTCGGTGGACCCTGCTCAAGCAGGGCCGCCAGCCTGGGTGGACAATGCTGAGACGATTGTCTAACACCGACATAAGCTGGACACACTCTCGGCAAGCGACCCCGTCGCGAAAACCCATGAGATCCAGCTGCTTGGAGGACCGGTGTCACCCCTACCGCGCCTTCGGACGGTCACAGAGGCTGTCACTGCGCTGTTAGCCCCTTTCCGCGAGGCAAACACGGCTGCAGGAAGGTTCGAGCCAAGCAGTTTGTTCGACCTAGGTTTCAACAGCATCAAGATCATGTCGGAGAAGTTTCACAAGCAATTGGCGATTCTGGTTGGAACCACCACCATACACAACAACGTAATACCAGCGCAACCAATACCGACGCCGTCTCGCGACAGCCAGATAACGCTCCAAGACTTCGACTCCAAGCACGACGACAGCTCGACAAACCGAGGGTATAACGCCGTCCTCCACCACCGACTCTCTTGCCAGTGATCCAAGACGCGGATGAGCGGTCGTCACACGGTTCGTCTGCTCTTGACTAGTACGACCGGATGCCACTAGGACCGGCAGGAGCAGCACGGCTCCAGGCTGGTGATAGGGGCGGAGCGACCAAACAGTATTATCACGAGACGTCGACAAGTGTCCACCCAAACATACATGCGCCTGATAGCTTGAATTTTCAAATAATGGGAAAACAGCACGGTCGTTACCGAAACTCAGCACCACCACATGACGAAGATGCTGGGGGATTCGCCTACCCATACGGTAGGTAACTTGCAGAGATACTTCGACGCGGCGATGACACGATTTCTACAGGAATGCCAGGTACAAGAAGGATACTAAGATGGAAGGGCGACCGCAGAGGCACAAAGAGCGCAAAAAACGGAGGCTCAACAAGCACCAAAAATTCGAACGCAAGCTTGGCGACAACATACTCTGACTGATGTGGAGATGGAATTAGTCGGTATGTGCGAGTACGACCCAGACGACATAGACTTGGAGGGATCACCGGTGAGGATGGCGACAGCTACTACAGAACAAATGCACAACATGGTCTCTTGCATAAAAGTTGCAGCGACATCGGACCTCTAGGATTTCCACGAAAGAGATCAATACAAATAGCGAACACGCAGTTGGGTGACCAGAGTGAAAACCGCGTTCACGAGAGACCAAGCGCCCGACGATAAAAAGTGTCTTGTTTTCGGTGGATTGCTATTTGGACTAGCTCAAAACTGGTATCGCCAACTGTTTCACTCGGTACGAGTAGACTGGAAGGATCTCTTTCAAGATTTCCGGATGCAGCTTTGCGGACTGGGAGTGCCAGTTGCTCGCCAATACAACCATGCGAAGAATACGTCAGTTTAGTCATTATTAGACTACCTGTACCGACTCGATGTTATAGGACTCAGGGCGAAGATCAAGATCAAGGACGGACCGCCCAAGGTACAAAGAAACACGTCGAACACTACATCAAGACTTTAGGAGACCCGGGAACTGGCGAATTAGCTCACGATAGTGCGTCTGGCAGACGTGGACGAACTGGAAGTCGTGTTGAGTTCCAGGCAGAGGACAAAAGCGCGGCGAGGTGAGGTACTTTATGGATCAAGAAAGATTGGACAAAAGGCACTCGTACATCCCGACCGACCAAGAAAATCAAATCGCCGGTCTGTACATGCAGTTCGAGCGACCATGGACGAGTCGAGCTCGGAAAATTAGAGCTCGTACGGCTCAAGTGAAGAAGGTGGCCTGAGGCAAATTCACTTGATGGTGATGGAAGGACAGAGGAACTGATGTGCGAAGATTTCAAGAGGACGACTTATTCGGGAGGCCGACCATCACCGTCACCAATAAGGTGACCATAAATCTTGCCCGACGTCGTCCGCTCAGCACCAGAAGTGCGCTCACTGTGGATCTCGATAGCATGGAGAGTAGGGTTGCTGAAAACGACTCACGTGTGACCGCTGTGGGAAAGGGTTACTCAACGGATCGTTGTTAGTTTGTGCAAGGGGTGTGGAGAGGCCCACGAGACTGAAAATTGTCAGATGGAAGAGTTTTATAATTTGATCCGTTAATAATACAACCCGACCAAGCACGCTGAAATCTTGCCGGAGAAGGTGGAGAAGAGGATTAATCGGAACACTCGCCAGGTTTGAATGTGGTACGAGCCGAGCTTTAGCAGAGTTACTAATGTCCTTAAGTCAGAGGAAGACTTAGCGCTCAACGAGCAGCGTAGCTCTAAAGAACTAGACTCAATGAGTCAATAAGTGTAACGCTTATGGTCCTTGATCCAGGAGACCAAACGATTCAATGAAACGACAGCACTTAGTGCTTAAGAGTAACTAGCTACCCCAGGGAGGTGTTGCTAACTCTTAGTTATTAGCGATCAACGACCAAAGACGCCTCGCAAGGCACGTGTCTTTATGATCAAAAAGGGAACTGAAATGTGTTGAATGATGAAGAGCTTGACGACCGAAACTGGGAGGGATGCTGAGAGTCCACTCGGAAGACCGGAGAAGACACTTGGGGTAGATGGAAGATTGGAAAGTGATTGATTATCGGGGCTTACTACTTACTACATGATTTATATGTGGTGCACATATAAATCATGTGAAGCGTCTCATCATCCTACGCGTCTAATCAACTATGGTAATTACCGTAAGAACTACGTCGTAAATACTAAGCTGAACAGGCGGTTCGGATTGGACCGGTCACGGTTACCAATACTGGTAGAAACCGATGACCGTCAACACGCCCCCTCAATCCGAACTCGCACGAATGCCGAGAGCCGTCGTCAAGTCCTTGTGACGAGGTCCCGAAAGTCCCTTGGTCATGATGTCCGCCATCATCACGGAAGTCTCGCAATACTCGAGCTGCACTTCACCGCGCTTGACCTCATCACGGATGTGATGGTACTTGATGTCGATGTGCTTGGCGCGGCCATGATTCACCGGATTCTTTGTCATCTTGATGCACGACTGGTTGTCTTCACGGATGACGAGGTCCGGTCCTGGTTCGTTTGCGGCCGCCAAAATCTCGCATAGCAGGCGATGCACCCACTTGCCTTCCTGGATGGCCAGACTCAGTGCGATGTATTCCGCTTCACTCGTCGACAGCGACACACTTGACTGCTTCTTGCTTCCCCAACTCACAGGAGCACCCATCAGCATGAAAGTGTAACCCGAAGTCGACTTGCGATCAGCGTGGTCGCCGGCCCAGTCCGCGTCCGAGTAGCCACGAAAGTAGATCTTATCGCTTGGCTGGAATCGGAGTCCGTGCGACTTGGTCCCTTGCAAGTAACGAAAGATGCGCTTCACCGCCGTCCAATGTTCTTGCTGCGGATTCTCCATGAAGCGCGAGACGTACCCCACAGCATACGCAATGTCCGGGCGCGTCGCAGTCGTCAAGTGCATCAAAGCTCCCACAGCTTCACGAAACGGAACGTCGATCTTGGCCGCTTCGGTGCTTGCGACAAGCCGAGTGCTCAAGTCGACCGGACTTGATGTGGCCTTGCACTCATCCATGCCGAAGCGCTTGAGGATGTCGTTGACATACCGTCGCTGGCACATCGTCACGCTGCCATCCGATTCGTCCACCAGTTCGATGCCCAGTACAAAGGTACACTTGCCGCTGTCGGTCATCTCGAAACGCATCTTGAGGTCGGCCTTCGTCTGCGCAATCAACTCGAGCGAGCTGCCGGTGACCAACACGTCATCCACGTATACCAGCAGCAGCACGCAGTGACCATCCACAACCTTGATGTAGAGACATGGGTCGAACGCCGACGCTTCGAAACCGATAGAGCATACGAACTCATCGAAAGTCTCGTTCCACACACGTGAAGCTTGCTTGAGACCGTAGATCGCCTTCACCAACTCGAGACAGTCGAAGTCGCCATCCATCTCGACGCCTTCTGGTACCACGCAGTACACCTTCTCCTTCATCACTCCGTAGAGAAAGGCTGTCACCACATCGAGTTGGTCCAGTGGCCAGTCGAAATACTTGGTGATCGCGATCACCATACGCAGTGTCACGTACTTGACCACGGGCGAGAACGTCTCTGTGTAGTCGATGCCGTACTTCTGCTTGAAGCCCTTGGCAACGAGACGCGCCTTGTATTTCTCGACCGATCCATCCGCTTTGCGCTTGATCTTGAACACCCACTTGGTGCCGATCGCGCCTTGGCCTCTTGGTAGTTTTGCCGCACGGAAAACTCCACGAAGATGCATCGACTTGAGTTCCGCCTTCACAGCATTTCGCCAGTGAGCTTGATCAGGACCATTGATCGCGTCTTGAAAAGTCACAGGTTCTGCTAGGTCCGTTGCTTCCACTGCGTTTGCACTTGCACGCCAAAATGTTGGAGGCGTCAAGTCGTCATCTTGATCGTAGACGCTTGCATCTTCTTCGTCATCAGACATCGTTTCTGGAGCACTTGATCGTCGTTTCTGGTGACGGTTGGAGACGTGTGCCGGCGCACTTGCTTGTTCCAATCCAGTTCGAGGGCGAGCTGAACGTGACATGCCGGGTCTTGCTTCACTCTTGCGCTTGCCAGTCTGCTTGTAGACAGTTTGACGCACGTCGTCCTCGTTGATCGCCAGGAGGTCGAGATCCAACTCCGCATCTTCATCATCGTCACTTGGTCGGTCCATCGAAAAGTCAAAAGTCGATTCGTCGAAGGTGATGTCACGACTGATCACCACTTGGTCCGCCTCAATGTCGTACACTCGATAAGCTTTTGACACTTCTTCGTAGCCCATGAACATCCCTTCACGAGCCTTCGGGTCCCACTTCAATCGCTTCTCCCTTGGTGTCAGGATAAACGCCCGACATCCAAACACGCGCATGTGCTTGACACTTGGTTTCGACTTGTACACGATCTCGAACGGAGTCTTGTGGTCGATCTTGGGTGAAGGCAGGCGGTTCTTGATGTAGATCGCCGTCATTGCCGCTTCAGCCCAGAAACACTTCTCCAGCTTTGCATGATGCAACAAGCTGCGTCCGATCGTGACGATGGTCCTTATCGCGCGTTCTGCGGTGCCGTTGGTCTGGTGTGCATACGGCACCGTGATCTGTTGTTCGATACCATGATCTTCGTAGAAGGTCTTGATCGAGTTGGTCGCAAATTCATGCGCTCCATCGTGCCGAACAAACTTGATCTTCGTGCCGAACTGTGTTTGAATCTTGATGATGTGGTTCTTGATACAGTCTTCACTCTCAGACTTGGACCGCAGACAGAAGCCCTTCATGCAACCGCTAGCTTCGTCAACCACAAGCAGTAAGTATTTGCTGCCGCCGATCGAGACTTGTTCCATTGGCCCGCAGATGTCGAAGTGCAGCAACTCGAACATACCATATTGGCGTTTGTCACGGTTGGTTGGGAATGGTTTTTGGACCATCTTTCCTTGCTGGCAACCGCGACACACACTTGGACCAGTCGAGTTGAGAGGTGCCTTGGCGTCCTTGATCATGCCAGTGGCCACCATCTTGCGCAGAACTTCGAGAGGTGCATGACCCATGCGCGCATGCAAGTCGATGGTCCCATTGCGTGTTGCTGCATTTGCCGATCGTTGAGGAGTCCGCAGCCAGTAAAGTCCATCGACGAGATCCGCTGTTGCCACGACTTGTGTGGAATTCTTGCGCTTCACTTGCATCTTGGATCCATCGAACACGACTTGGAACCTCCCACCCTTGTTGATCTGTGGCACCGAAAGCAGATTCTTGCTCATGCTTGGTACGAACAGCGCGTCCTTGATCTCGATGTCGCGTTCGTCACCATTGGGCAGAACCACCCGTTCCATGATGGTTCCCACACCCTTGATCGCAGCCTTGCTGCCATCAGCCATTGATAGTTCGCCTTCCTCTCGCTCATTCAGGCTTGCAAACTTGGCCTTGTCGTTGCAGATGTGATGCGTCGCACCGCTGTCGACTGCCCACATCCCTGGCATATTCTTGCCCGTCGAAAGTCCGGCCTCCAGCGAAACCGCGAACGCAACTCGATCGCAGTTGTCGTCGTAGTTGCTGTTGGTTCGCCACTGAACGTTGTTGGCTCCGCGTCCACGAGCATTGTTGCCGCCGCGTCGAGCTCCACCTTGATTCTCGTCCTTCTGCTTGGTCCAGCACCGCTCCGCCGTGTGCCCCAATTTTCCGCAGTATGTACACTGGCGAGGTTCACGCTCGGTACTGAACGCCTTGGCCGCGTCTTCAGTCTTCACCGATGTCGTCTTGTCACCTTGCCTCTTGATGTGCTCATTCGTGAGCACTCTCACGACGTCTCGCGATCGCAGTTCCGCGCTGCTCATCTCCAAGTTGAGAACGACGTTCTCGTAGCTCTTGGGGAGGCTGCGCAACAAGCAGATCGCCACGTCCTCGTCCTCCATCTTGGCGCCGATGCTGCTGAGCTTCGCGCTGATGTTGAGGACTTCGTTGCAATGATGCATCACATTGCCGCCTTCCGCCATCTCCATGCTGAACAGCTGGCGCTTCAAGTAGATGCGTCCAGCCTTCTGCGACCCGCCGTACAGCGTCTTCAAACGCGCCCACGCGACCCACGCCTCTTCACAGTCATCAACCACGTGATGATAATCTGCGCTCATGTGCAGCAGCATCAAGCCGAACGCAATGTTGTTCGTCTTGACGTAGTCATCACTGGCGCGAGGATCGGCGAAGGTGGGGGGTGGTCTCCCGGTTCACCACGTGCCACGCCGACTTGGTCAGGAACACGCCACGCATGTAGCGGCTCCACGTCGCGTAGTTGTCGCCGTCGAACTTGTCGATGGAGATCTTGGTGGTGGCATCATGGGCAGAGGACATCGTGCTTGGGCTCATAACCTGTTGAATGATGAAGAGCTTGACGACCGAAACTGGGAGGGATGCTGAGAGTCCACTCGGAAGACCGGAGAAGACACTTGGGGTAGATGGAAGATTGGAAAGTGATTGATTATCGGGGCTTACTACTTACTACATGATTTATATGTGGTGCACATATAAATCATGTGAAGCGTCTCATCATCCTACGCGTCTAATCAACTATGGTAATTACCGTAAGAACTACGTCGTAAATACTAAGCTGAACAGGCGGTTCGGATTGGACCGGTCACGGTTACCAATACTGGTAGAAACCGATGACCGTCAACAAAATGCATTTACATTTACACCTATGGAATATCTTAACCTAAGTTAGTACAACTAAGATCTCTCCTATCCAGTGGCTGACACCAGTCAGCCCCTATAAACCGATAATATATTCCATATCTCTTTCAGTGGGATATCATTCCTGTGTCTAAGATACAGGGTACCAGGTACTCAACTGCGTGTAACCCCGTTACACCCTCCCCCACCAGACTGACGTTTCACAAAACGTCAATCGAACGTTCTCATCGAACTTTGTCCTTTCACGAGGTCAGTGCACGAGCGGTTCATTACGGCAACGTAAAGCTTAGCACGATGTCTTCATCACTAAGCGAGTCAAAGACTCTCAGTATTACCTGGAAATGGGGGAGATTTTGGACTATGGTAGCAATACCAGTGTCCCGGGCGATGCAGGGCAATGTCCGATACACCTATGTCTGTGTTACAATCTCATCCTACCCCCTGTCCGTTCCCTGAACGTGATACCGAGAATTCGCCATTGTTGCCGCGCTCAACACTCGGTTCGGATGATAACATCATCACGAATTCGCTCGATGAGCAACGACAGAATAATCCTTTAACTAGGAGAAAGCACTCTGCACCATGCGCAAATGATTGCAACTCTCGAGCACCAACGTGACTACGTATTCATTTCACCCAGTGTGGAGGAACGCTTACGTCAAGTGGCTGGACAATCGTTGGCAACGTGGGTCATTGGCCATGGGCCTAAGTCTCCTGAGGTGGTGGTGAGCGGACTAACACTTCGCGAGAGGTACGTGGAACCTCACCTAACGTCCCAAGGTCAATAAAAGACACAGCCTAAATATGCCAGCACATGGTGCACCGGTCCCACCGATTAAGGGTAAACTCATTCTCTTGTCTGCAGGCGGAACAGAGAGCGAAGAAGACAATGCTTTTGTCCGCTGGGTGCACCGCATACGTCGCCTCAGCAGTATGTCTGCTCTGAGGGCTAGTGCCAATGTGGCTGATGTGCGTCTAGAACGCAAGCTTCAGGATGACAATGCCAAGCTTAAGGCCAGAGGCCAATTGCGTAATCCCACGCAATGCGCTTCGGCTACTACGGTAGCCGCGAATGTTAGTCAAACTGTAACCACCGACCCGCCCACCCACACCACTAGTAATGGGAAACGTCCTCGGTCTCAAGATGACCTTGGCCACGATGTTCTAAAACATCCAAAGCATAAGGGCAATCTTGCCGTAGGGGTATCTCGCATTCCCTTAAGTTCTCAGACTCAAGGTCCCGCGCAAATTACCAGATACTGGTAGTGGCCATGACGACGACGTCGTTTCAGTAGTCTCTCGACATGAAACTGACGACACCCATGCTCATCGAGCAGCGTCGGTGGTGGCCGGTGTACCGGTGGCAGCCCACGAGAATTTGGTTCTCGAATTGAAGGGTCTTCAAGAGACCTTGGGGAAGTCCCGATGCATTCTGGATGCGGTGCAGAGCTGCCTTCAGTCGATGGAGCATGCTCAAACTTGGAGCGAGGCTCAGTTGGACTTGCTGATTCGCTTGCAGCAATCCGGGGCACCGCCCTCGTCGTCGGTGCCAACGCCTCAAAACTCACATGGGAATGATCCCGGTACGACTTGAGTAAGCCTATGTAGAACACTGGGTGTGTACGAAATTTGCGTGGAAGGGTGAGCGTGTACGCATTGCCCTCCTTGGAGGTGACAGTAAACGGTCCAACGAAGCGTGAACGCAAATTTGTCATGAAGACAGCAGACACTACACTTGTAGGTAGGTTGTGGCATTAAGCAATACTTGGTCTCCGACCTTTTAATCTTCAACACAATTTCTACCTTTGGTATCAGCTTCTTATTTATGTTGATCTTGGCTATCAGCCATTGCGTCACGCAAATGTCGTAAGACATTCAATCGCGTTGCGAGAAACTCGGGCCTACCTGTTTTTGAACAATAGCAAAGCTGATATCAGCAATTCAATTGGCAACCCCTCTCCACTAAGCTCTGAACCACAGAGTGGTAGCGTTAACGGAACGCGAGGGTGGATGAGACCGTTTACGTAAAACGGAGTAAAGCCTGTGGAGGCATGAACAGCGTTTTTATACGCAAAATTTAACAACAGGGAGCATTGAGCTCCAACGCCGTGGCGCATCAGCGCAAACACTGCGCAAAATATCATTAATGACGCGATTAATACGGTCAGTTTGACCATCGGTCTGCGGATGATCCGCCGTGGACATGTCCAATCGGGTGCTAAGCCTTTTAAAGATAGACTTCCAGAATTTCCCAGCAAAGCGGGGATCTCTATCAGAGACAATTGCCACAGGCAAACCATGCTATCGAAACGCACGATCGATAAACAGCTTTGCTGTGCCTTCAGTGTAACGGGGCACCCTGAAGCTTGTACTAGTGACAGTACAAGCTACTTATTCTGATGATAGAATAAGGCGGTGCCTCGTAACTTCACGTACACTCGTACGTGCAGAGGAAGACGGTAAGAAGAAGCGAGTACTTGGTTAGAGTAAAAAGTAGAACTGTATTTATAATAGTTAATGTCTGCAATAAATCACTATTTATCTTCATCTAACTATGTCTAAATACAAATGTGTAAATCAACTATCTGCTCACCACTCATTGCTTGCGTCTGTCGTGGCGCGTCTTCGTTGGTTGATATAATGGCCTATATCAACCAATTAGGAACTACTCGTAAGTGCTACAGAATATTTGTCCTTTTGACAATATTCTGAGAATAAATCTCTTATAGTTATATTCTGTTAACAATTTCTTATGAATTGTTATGCAACGATTCACCCCGTTACATCACCCCCCCCTTAACCATCAGTCACTTTAGTGACTCATTGACTAAATGGATACTCGTCCCAAATCATTTGGGACAGGGTTTGCACTTATGGTCCGAGTCCACTTCCCAACATATCATCGTATGGTTAACAAGCCCATGCGATGCGCGAGCAAGGCCGCCGAGAGCGCGTCCGCACGTCTCTGTGCGGACGCCGAAGCAGAAACCGCTGCAATTGATGTGTCATCGGTTGCTGAAGCGACTCAGCCTGTGTCACTTGGTGATGCAGGTGCTGGTCATGAAGACACTCATGTCTTCACAGAGTATGAGCTCGGTGTCTCGTACTCTCCTGATACGGAAGACGGATCCGTATCGACGGCGATCGAATCCAAGCCGCCCGCCAAGCGTGGCATGGACGATGCTTTGCGCCGCAGCATCTTTGGCTCATCTGATGAATCAGGTGAACCATCGCCGAAGCGAAGGCGCTCGAGGTCGCGAGACTCGGGCGCTAATAGTGGTGTCGGTTCTCCAATGGACACCACTTCACAGCGAGGTGCCAGTACTTCTGTCGGCACGTCGCAGGAAGAGCGGGACCGCAATGGCTTGCGTCTAGCTCCCGAGAAGAAGGCATGGATGCCTCCGAAATCCGTCATGGATCACTTGTCGGCGACGACGAGTGATCGTTATCGAACACGTTTGTTCGATTCGTCAAGGATCCATCACCTTGACCCTGTTTATTTATGAAGAGCTTGACGACCGAAACTGGGAGGGATGCTGAGAGTCCACTCGGAAGACCGGAGAAGACACTTGGGGTAGATGGAAGATTGGAAAGTGATTGATTATCGGGGCTTACTACTTACTACATGATTTATATGTGGTGCACATATAAATCATGTGAAGCGTCTCATCATCCTACGCGTCTAATCAACTATGGTAATTACCGTAAGAACTACGTCGTAAATACTAAGCTGAACAGGCGGTTCGGATTGGACCGGTCACGGTTACCAATACTGGTAGAAACCGATGACCGTCAACACGCCCCCTCAATCCGAACTCGCACGAATGCCGAGAGCCGTCGTCAAGTCCTTGTGACGAGGTCCCGAAAGTCCCTTGGTCATGATGTCCGCCATCATCACGGAAGTCTCGCAATACTCGAGCTGCACTTCACCGCGCTTGACCTCATCACGGATGTGATGGTACTTGATGTCGATGTGCTTGGCGCGGCCATGATTCACCGGATTCTTTGTCATCTTGATGCACGACTGTGTTGAACGATGAAGAGCTTGACGACCGAAACTGGGAGGGATGCTGAGAGTCCACTCGGAAGACCGGAGAAGACACTTGGGGTAGATGGAAGATTGGAAAGTGATTGATTATCGGGGCTTACTACTTACTACATGATTTATATGTGGTGCACATATAAATCATGTGAAGCGTCTCATCATCCTACGCGTCTAATCAACTATGGTAATTACCGTAAGAACTACGTCGTAAATACTAAGCTGAACAGGCGGTTCGGATTGGACCGGTCACGGTTACCAATACTGGTAGAAACCGATGACCGTCAACACGCCCCCTCAATCCGAACTCGCACGAATGCCGAGAGCCGTCGTCAAGTCCTTGTGACGAGGTCCCGAAAGTCCCTTGGTCATGATGTCCGCCATCATCACGGAAGTCTCGCAATACTCGAGCTGCACTTCACCGCGCTTGACCTCATCACGGATGTGATGGTACTTGATGTCGATGTGCTTGGCGCGGCCATGATTCACCGGATTCTTTGTCATCTTGATGCACGACTGGTTGTCTTCACGGATGACGAGGTCCGGTCCTGGTTCGTTTGCGGCCGCCAAAATCTCGCATAGCAGGCGATGCACCCACTTGCCTTCCTGGATGGCCAGACTCAGTGCGATGTATTCCGCTTCACTCGTCGACAGCGACACACTTGACTGCTTCTTGCTTCCCCAACTCACAGGAGCACCCATCAGCATGAAAGTGTAACCCGAAGTCGACTTGCGATCAGCGTGGTCGCCGGCCCAGTCCGCGTCCGAGTAGCCACGAAAGTCGATCTTATCGCTTGGCTGGAATCGGAGTCCGTGCGACTTGGTCCCTTGCAAGTAACGAAAGATGCGCTTCACCGCCGTCCAATGTTCTTGCTGCGGATTCTCCATGAAGCGCGAGACGTACCCCACAGCATACGCAATGTCCGGGCGCGTCGCAGTCGTCAAGTGCATCAAAGCTCCCACAGCTTCACGAAACGGAACGTCGATCTTGGCCGCTTCGGTGCTTGCGACAAGCCGAGTGCTCAAGTCGACCGGACTTGATGTGGCCTTGCACTCATCCATGCCGAAGCGCTTGAGGATGTCGTTGACATACCGTCGCTGGCACATCGTCACGCTGCCATCCGATTCGTCCACCAGTTCGATGCCCAGTACAAAGGTACACTTGCCGCTGTCGGTCATCTCGAAACGCATCTTGAGGTCGGCCTTCGTCTGCGCAATCAACTCGAGCGAGCTGCCGGTGACCAACACGTCATCCACGTATACCAGCAGCAGCACGCAGTGACCATCCACAACCTTGATGTAGAGACATGGGTCGAACGCCGACGCTTCGAAACCGATAGAGCATACGAACTCATCGAAAGTCTCGTTCCACACACGTGAAGCTTGCTTGAGACCGTAGATCGCCTTCACCAACTCGAGACAGTCGAAGTCGCCATCCATCTCGACGCCTTCTGGTACCACGCAGTACACCTTCTCCTTCATCACTCCGTAGAGAAAGGCTGTCACCACATCGAGTTGGTCCAGTGGCCAGTCGAAATACTTGGTGATCGCGATCACCATACGCAGTGTCACGTACTTGACCACGGGCGAGAACGTCTCTGTGTAGTCGATGCCGTACTTCTGCTTGAAGCCCTTGGCAACTAGACGCGCCTTGTATTTCTCGACCGATCCATCCGCTTTGCGCTTGATCTTGAACACCCACTTGGTGCCGATCGCGCCTTGGCCTCTTGGTAGTTTTGCCGCACGGAAAACTCCACGAAGATGCATCGACTTGAGTTCCGCCTTCACAGCATTTCGCCAGTGAGCTTGATCAGGACCATTGATCGCGTCTTGAAAAGTCACAGGTTCTGCTAGGTCCGTTGCTTCCACTGCGTTTGCACTTGCACGCCAAAATGTTGGAGGCGTCAAGTCGTCATCTTGATCGTAGACGCTTGCATCTTCTTCGTCATCAGACATCGTTTCTGGAGCACTTGATCGTCGTTTCTGGTGACGGTTGGAGACGTGTGCCGGCGCACTTGCTTGTTCCAATCCAGTTCGAGGGCGAGCTGAACGTGACATGCCGGGTCTTGCTTCACTCTTGCGCTTGCCAGTCTGCTTGTAGACAGTTTGACGCACGTCGTCCTCGTTGATCGCCAGGAGGTCGAGATCCAACTCCGCATCTTCATCATCGTCACTTGGTTGGTCCATCGAAAAGTCAAAAGTCGATTCGTCGAAGGTGATGTCACGACTGATCACCACTTGGTCCGCCTCAATGTCGTACACTCGATAAGCTTTTGACACTTCTTCGTAGCCCATGAACATCCCTTCACGAGCCTTCGGGTCCCACTTCAATCGCTTCTCCCTTGGTGTCAGGATAAACGCCCGACATCCAAACACGCGCATGTGCTTGACACTTGGTTTCGACTTGTACACGATCTCGAACGGAGTCTTGTGGTCGATCTTGGGTGAAGGCAGGCGGTTCATGATGTAGATCGCCGTCATTGCCGCTTCAGCCCAGAAACACTTCTCCAGCTTTGCATGATGCAACAAGCTGCGTCCGATCGTGACGATGGTCCTTATCGCGCGTTCTGCGGTGCCGTTGGTCTGGTGTGCATACGGCACCGTGATCTGTTGTTCGATACCATGATCTTCGTAGAAGGTCTTGATCGAGTTGGTCGCAAATTCATGCGCTCCATCGTGCCGAACAAACTTGATCTTCGTGCCGAACTGTGTTTGAATCTTGATGATGTGGTTCTTGATACAGTCTTCACTCTCAGACTTGGACCGCAGACAGAAGCCCTTCATGCAACCGCTAGCTTCGTCAACCACAAGCAGTAAGTATTTGCTGCCGCCGATCGAGACTTGTTCCATTGGCCCGCAGATGTCGAAGTGCAGCAACTCGAACATACCATATTGGCGTTTGTCACGGTTGGTTGGGAATGGTTTTTGGACCATCTTTCCTTGCTGGCAACCGCGACACACACTTGGACCAGTCGAGTTGAGAGGTGCCTTGGCGTCCTTGATCATGCCAGTGGCCACCATCTTGCGCAGAACTTCGAGAGGTGCATGACCCATGCGCGCATGCAAGTCGATGGTCCCATTGCGTGTTGCTGCATTTGCCGATCGTTGAGGAGTCCGCAGCCAGTAAAGTCCATCGACGAGATCCGCTGTTGCCACGACTTGTGTGGAATTCTTGCGCTTCACTTGCATCTTGGATCCATCGAACACGACTTGGAACCTCCCACCCTTGTTGATCTGTGGCACCGAAAGCAGATTCTTGCTCATGCTTGGTACGAACAGCGCGTCCTTGATCTCGATGTCGCGTTCGTCACCATTGGGCAGAACCACCCGTTCCATGATGGTTCCCACACCCTTGATCGCAGCCTTGCTGCCATCAGCCACTGATAGTTCGCCTTCCTCTCGCTCATTCAGGCTTGCAAACTTGGCCTTGTCGTTGCAGATGTGATGCGTCGCACCGCTGTCGACTGCCCACATCCCTGGCATATTCTTGCCCGTCGAAAGTCCGGCCTCCAGCGAAACCGCGAACGCAACTCGATCGCAGTTGTCGTCGTAGTTGCTGTTGGTTCGCCACTGAACGTTGTTGGCTCCGCGTCCACGAGCATTGTTGCCGCCGCGTCGAGCTCCACCTTGATTCTCGTCCTTCCGCTTGGTCCAGCACCGCTCCGCCGTGTGCCCCAATTTTCCGCAGTATGTACACTGGCGAGGTTCACGCTCGGTACTGAACGCCTTCGCCGCGTCTTCAGTCTTCACCGATGTCGTCTTGTCACCTTGCCTCTTGATGTGCTCATTCGTGAGCACTCTCACGACGTCTCGCGATCGCAGTTCCGCGCTGCTCATCTCCAAGTTGAGAACGACGTTCTCGTAGCTCTTGGGGAGGCTGCGCAACAAGCAGATCGCAACGTCCTCGTCCTCCATCTTGGCGCCGATGCTGCTGAGCTTCGCGCTGATGTTGAGGACTTCGTTGCAATGATGCATCACATTGCCGCCTTCCGCCATCTCCATGCTGAACAGCTGGCGCTTCAAGTAGATGCGTCCAGCCTTCTGCGACCCGCCGTACAGCGTCTTCAAACGCGCCCACGCGACCCACGCCTCTTCACAGTCATCAACCACGTGATGATAATCTGCGCTCATGTGCAGCAGCATCAAGCCGAACGCAATGTTGTTCGTCTTGACGTAGTCGTCACTGGCGCGAGGATCGGCGAAGGTGGGGGTGGTCTCCCGGTTCACCACGTGCCACGCCGACTTGGTCAGGAACACGCCACGCATGTAGCGGCTCCACGTCGCGTAGTTGTCGCCGTCGAACTTGTCGATGGAGATCTTGGTGGTGGCATCATGGGCAGGGGACATCGTGCTTGGGCTCATAACCTGTTGAACGATGAAGAGCTTGACGACCGAAACTGGGAGGGATGCTGAGAGTCCACTCGGAAGACCGGAGAAGACACTTGGGGTAGATGGAAGATTGGAAAGTGATTGATTATCGGGGCTTACTACTTACTACATGATTTATATGTGGTGCACATATAAATCATGTGAAGCGTCTCATCATCCTACGCGTCTAATCAACTATGGTAATTACCGTAAGAACTACGTCGTAAATACTAAGCTGAACAGGCGGTTCGGATTGGACCGGTCACGGTTACCAATACTGGTAGAAACCGATGACCGTCAACAGACTGGTTGTCTTCACGGATGACGAGGTCCGGTCCTGGTTCGTTTGCGGCCGCCAAAATCTCGTATAGCAGGCGATGCACCCACTTGCCTTCCTGGATGGCCAGACTCAGTGCGATGTATTCCGCTTCACTCGTCGACAGCGACACACTTGACTGCTTCTTGCTTCCCCAACTCACAGGAGCACCCATCAGCATGAAAGTGTAACCCGAAGTCGACTTGCGATCAGCGTGGTCGCCGGCCCAGTCCGCGTCCGAGTAGCCACGAAAGTCGATCTTATCGCTTGGCTGGAATCGGAGTCCGTGCGACTTGGTCCCTTGCAAGTAACGAAAGATGCGCTTCACCGCCGTCCAATGTTCTTGCTGCGGATTCTCCATGAAGCGCGAGACGTACCCCACAGCATACGCAATGTCCGGGCGCGTCGCAGTCGTCAAGTGCATCAAAGCTCCCACAGCTTCACGAAACGGAACGTCGATCTTGGCCGCTTCGGTGCTTGCGACAAGCCGAGTGCTCAAGTCGACCGGACTTGATGTGGCCTTGCACTCATCCATGCCGAAGCGCTTGAGGATGTCGTTGACATACCGTCGCTGGCACATCGTCACGCTGCCATCCGATTCGTCCACCAGTTCGATGCCCAGTACAAAGGTACACTTGCCGCTGTCGGTCATCTCGAAACGCATCTTGAGGTCGGCCTTCGTCTGCGCAATCAACTCGAGCGAGCTGCCGGTGACCAACACGTCATCCACGTATACCAGCAGCAGCACGCAGTGACCATCCACAACCTTGATGTAGAGACATGGGTCGAACGCCGACGCTTCGAAACCGATAGAGCATACGAACTCATCGAAAGTCTCGTTCCACACACGTGAAGCTTGCTTGAGACCGTAGATCGCCTTCACCAACTCGAGACAGTCGAAGTCGCCATCCATCTCGACGCCTTCTGGTACCACGCAGTACACCTTCTCCTTCATCACTCCGTAGAGAAAGGCTGTCACCACATCGAGTTGGTCCAGTGGCCAGTCGAAATACTTGGTGATCGCGATCACCATACGCAGTGTCACGTACTTGACCACGGGCGAGAACGTCTCTGTGTAGTCGATGCCGTACTTCTGCTTGAAGCCCTTGGCAACTAGACGCGCCTTGTATTTCTCGACCGATCCATCCGCTTTGCGCTTGATCTTGAACACCCACTTGGTGCCGATCGCGCCTTGGCCTCTTGGTAGTTTTGCCGCACGGAAAACTCCACGAAGATGCATCGACTTGAGTTCCGCCTTCACAGCATTTCGCCAGTGAGCTTGATCAGGACCATTGATCGCGTCTTGAAAAGTCACAGGTTCTGCTAGGTCCGTTGCTTCCACTGCGTTTGCACTTGCACGCCAAAATGTTGGAGGCGTCAAGTCGTCATCTTGATCGTAGACGCTTGCATCTTCTTCGTCATCAGACATCGTTTCTGGAGCACTTGATCGTCGTTTCTGGTGACGGTTGGAGACGTGTGCCGGCGCACTTGCTTGTTCCAATCCAGTTCGAGGGCGAGCTGAACGTGACATGCCGGGTCTTGCTTCACTCTTGCGCTTGCCAGTCTGCTTGTAGACAGTTTGACGCACGTCGTCCTCGTTGATCGCCAGGAGGTCGAGATCCAACTCCGCATCTTCATCATCGTCACTTGGTCGGTCCATCGAAAAGTCAAAAGTCGATTCGTCGAAGGTGATGTCACGACTGATCACCACTTGGTCCGCCTCAATGTCGTACACTCGATAAGCTTTTGACACTTCTTCGTAGCCCATGAACATCCCTTCACGAGCCTTCGGGTCCCACTTCAATCGCTTCTCCCTTGGTGTCAGGATAAACGCCCGACATCCAAACACGCGCATGTGCTTGACACTTGGTTTCGACTTGTACACGATCTCGAACGGAGTCTTGTGGTCGATCTTGGGTGAAGGCAGGCGGTTCTTGATGTAGATCGCCGTCATTGCCGCTTCAGCCCAGAAACACTTCTCCAGCTTTGCATGATGCAACAAGCTGCGTCCGATCGTGACGATGGTCCTTATCGCGCGTTCTGCGGTGCCGTTGGTCTGGTGTGCATACGGCACCGTGATCTGTTGTTCGATACCATGATCTTCGTAGAAGGTCTTGATCGAGTTGGTCGCAAATTCATGCGCTCCATCGTGCCGAACAAACTTGATCTTCGTGCCGAACTGTGTTTGAATCTTGATGATGTGGTTCTTGATACAGTCTTCACTCTCAGACTTGGACCGCAGACAGAAGCCCTTCATGCAACCGCTAGCTTCGTCAACCACAAGCAGTAAGTATTTGCTGCCGCCGATCGAGACTTGTTCCATTGGCCCGCAGATGTCGAAGTGCAGCAACTCGAACATACCATATTGGCGTTTGTCACGGTTGGTTGGGAATGGTTTTTGGACCATCTTTCCTTGCTGGCAACCGCGACACACACTTGGACCAGTCGAGTTGAGAGGTGCCTTGGCGTCCTTGATCATGCCAGTGGCCACCATCTTGCGCAGAACTTCGAGAGGTGCATGACCCATGCGCGCATGCAAGTCGATGGTCCCATTGCGTGTTGCTGCATTTGCCGATCGTTGAGGAGTCCGCAGCCAGTAAAGTCCATCGACGAGATCCGCTGTTGCCACGACTTGTGTGGAATTCTTGCGCTTCACTTGCATCTTGGATCCATCGAACACGACTTGGAACCTCCCACCCTTGTTGATCTGTGGCACCGAAAGCAGATTCTTGCTCATGCTTGGTACGAACAGCGCGTCCTTGATCTCGATGTCGCGTTCGTCACCATTGGGCAGAACCACCCGTTCCATGATGGTTCCCACACCCTTGATCGCAGCCTTGCTGCCATCAGCCACTGATAGTTCGCCTTCCTCTCGCTCATTCAGGCTTGCAAACTTGGCCTTGTCGTTGCAGATGTGATGCGTCGCACCGCTGTCGACTGCCCACATCCCTGGCATATTCTTGCCCGTCGAAAGTCCGGCCTCCAGCGAAACCGCGAACGCAACTCGATCGCAGTTGTCGTCGTAGTTGCTGTTGGTTCGCCACTGAACGTTGTTGGCTCCGCGTCCACGAGCATTGTTGCCGCCGCGTCGAGCTCCACCTTGATTCTCGTCCTTCTGCTTGGTCCAGCACCGCTCCGCCGTGTGCCCCAATTTTCCGCAGTATGTACACTGGCGAGGTTCACGCTCGGTACTGAACGCCTTGGCCGCGTCTTCAGTCTTCACCGATGTCGTCTTGTCACCTTGCCTCTTGATGTGCTCATTCGTGAGCACTCTCACGACGTCTCGCGATCGCAGTTCCGCGCTGCTCATCTCCAAGTTGAGAACGATGTTCTCGTAGCTCTTGGGGAGGCTGCGCAACAAGCAGATCGCCACGTCCTCGTCCTCCATCTTGGCGCCGATGCTGCTGAGCTTCGCGCTGATGTTGAGGACTTCGTTGCAATGATGCATCACATTGCCGCCTTCCGCCATCTCCATGCTGAACAGCTGGCGCTTCAAGTAGATGCGTCCAGCCTTCTGCGACCCGCCGTACAGCGTCTTCAAACGCGCCCACGCGACCCACGCCTCTTCACAGTCATCAACCACGTGATGATAATCTGCGCTCATGTGCAGCAGCATCAAGCCGAACGCAATGTTGTTCGTCTTGACGTAGTCGTCACTGGCGCGAGGATCGGCGAAGGTGGGGGTGGTCTCCCGGTTCACCACGTGCCACGCCGACTTGGTCAGGAACACGCCACGCATGTAGCGGCTCCACGTCGCGTAGTTGTCGCCGTCGAACTTGTCGATGGAGATCTTGGTGGTGGCATCATGGGCAGAGGACATCGTGCTTGGGCTCATAACCTGTTTATTTATGAAGAGCTTGACGACCGAAACTGGGAGGGATGCTGAGAGTCCACTCGGAAGACCGGAGAAGACACTTGGGGTAGATGGAAGATTGGAAAGTGATTGATTATCGGGGCTTACTACTTACTACATGATTTATATGTGGTGCACATATAAATCATGTGAAGCGTCTCATCATCCTACGCGTCTAATCAACTATGGTAATTACCGTAAGAACTACGTCGTAAATACTAAGCTGAACAGGCGGTTCGGATTGGACCGGTCACGGTTACCAATACTGGTAGAAACCGATGACCGTCAACAGACCCCAGCGCGAAAAATTATCGCGCTGAGAATGAATTCTTCATCGATGCTTTCTTTAGACATCGATGGTACAGTGGGAATCAAAAGCGTGATGGTCTCTCACTACTTCAAGCGTGGAACGCCTACACCCATAACCTTGAGGATGTAGGTCGTGACGCTTGGAACGACAAACTTATCAAAGCTCGTGATAAGTTTGAAAAGCGAACCCCGACAGGTGCACGCTACAAGCTGCATCGTCTGTCAAGGGAGAAGGGATTACCCTGCCTCTCATGGGGAGACTCGTGCCCATGTTGTGTGAACAACTCTGCACGAGCACCTAAGGAGGCTTACCTCCTTACTAGCCCTTGGTGGCGCGTACGTATCTCTACTGGGATGTACGAAGGGATTGACAACCTGAAATCCCTTTACGACCGTGCCGGGAAGAATTTCTCCGGCGGTCCTTCTGCAGCACAGGATGTGCCGCGTCGTACTGCCCAACCAGACCCAGTACGTCGATCATCAGTTGGGAGCGGGGCTCCCAAGTATCCCAGGACGGGGGATAGCCGCGCCACCGGACGAGATAACTCGTCCGACGTCCGTTCACGTCGCGGTGGTTCAACCGCTGCTAAACTAGATAGCGCTGACCACCGCGAGAGTCCTCAAATGGAGGTGGAGGAGGAGGTAAGACGCTCTCCACACGATCATGGGGATCCGTGTTCCCGAAAGCTTCTTTGATCGCGTAACGCAAGGGTTACGCAACGATCTCGAACATGAGCGGGACAGGTGTCTCCAAATGGCGGACACTGTCTCGAAGCATCGAGCTGAGTTTTCCTTTGCTCAGCTTTAGAACGAGAGATTTCTGACATCTCTTCGTGACGAGCTAAGGTAGCTCGTGGGATTGTTGATCGGTCTCGGGATGAGATAGCTGCTCTTCAGACCCTTGTCGATGCCCACCTTTAGAGCACAAGGCTCTCTGCGAGATGCTTTAGCGCAAGGGCGTTCTTCATCGGAAGAAGCAGCGTACTGATGGTACGGCTTAAGCCGACCAACGTAAAATGTGGGATGCATGCGCATCTTACGTGGCAACTCGATCGTGTATGCATTGCCTAGGCGGAGCAATACACGAAATGGGTCGATGTACTTGGGTAGTAGTTTACTGCTACCCAAGTTAGTCACTACATGCTTTGGTAGATTAACCGTAGACATTAGGACTAAGTCACCTTTGTTAAATAAAAGAGTGTTTTGATGAACTTTAGACTTCTTGGTCCGAGTGCAAAACGCAAAGTAAATATATATTTATAATAGGTACTTAGTTCGCAACTTTGAATACTACCTCTAAGCCTATTATTCGCAGTGACGTCATCCAGTGACGTCACCCAGTGACGTCACCCACTGACGTCATCCAGTGACGTCATTTCCTGACTTCGCCCTTACTGGTACATACCGGTACCCACCGGTATAGCGAAGCTTGGTCTTCCACTTGCTTCAACACTTGACGCAGCTTGACGAGGTGTCTTCTTCACAGCTGCTGTCTTTTCAACACTCCCTCTCGACTCGTTAGCTGCGGCACCTTGGATCCCAAGTCGATCGCGAATGTTTTCAAATTGTACAGCGGCGATCGGCTTGGTCATCATGTCTGCCAGCATATCTTGAGTCGGGCAATACTCCAAAACGACTTCACCTGATTCCACCTTCTCACGCACAAAATGGTAGCGTATGTCGATGTGTTTTGTTCTCTTATGGAACTCCGGGTTCTTGGCGAGAGCGATTGATCCTTGGTTGTCTTCATACATCTTGATCGCTTCGTCGCTTGTCATCTCACCAAGTTCCCCCAAAAGCACCTTGAGCCATACTGCTTCTTTGGTTGCTTCGGAAAGCGCCATGTATTCTGCTTCTGTTGAAGATAGCGCGACCGTCCGTTGTTTCTGGCTTTTCCAGCTGATGCATCCTCCGCTCATCATGAACACATAGCCGCTTGTACTTCGTCTTGACTCAATGTCGCCGGCCCAGTCTGCGTCGGTGTACCCGCAGATACGGCTTCCTTCTTGACGTGTAAACTCAAGACCATGGTTGGGCGTTGCTTGCAGGTATCTCAGCACACGCTTCAAAGCTTGCCAGTGAGTCGGGCATGGGTCGGACGAGAACTGGGATAATGATCCCACTGCAGCAGCTAGATCCGGACGTGTGGCGACCATGAGATACATGATGCCTCCGACAGCACTTCGATATGGCACGTTGCACATGGTGTCTTCGTGCTTGCATTCTTGTTCACACATGTTCTTGGTTAGCTTCAGGCCGGGATCTTGAGGCGTCTTCACTGGCTTGCTGTTATCCATTCCGAACTTGGTTAACACGGACTTGAGAAACTTGGTTTGTTGCACAGTCACCATTCCCGTCTTACGGTCGTTCTTGATCTCCATGCCGAGAAAGTAATCGAGCTCACCGAGATCCGTCATTTCGAAGCGTTTGCTCAGCGCCATCTTGGTCGACTTGAGGAGTTCGTTGTTGCTGCTGGCCAGGATGAGATCATCGACGTAGAGCACCACGAGAATCATGTCTTGGTCGTCTCGCTTGATGTAGATGCAGTGGTCCGATTCGCACTTCTTGAATCCCATCTTGATCATGAACCCATCGATTGTTTGGTTCCACATGCGAGGCGATTGCTTCAAGCCGTAGAGTGATCTCTTTAGCTTGCACACATAGTCCGGCTGTGTTGCATCCAGGTATCCGTCCGGCTGGTCCATGTAGATGTCTTCGTTGAGGGAGCCGTTAAGAAACGCTGTCTTGACGTCCATCTGATGTAGCATTAGGCCGTACTTAGCCGCCATACTGAGCACCACACGAATCGATGTGAACTTGGCCACCGGTGCGAAAGTTTCTTCATAGTCAACTCCGAATTTCTGTGAGAATCCTTTGGCCACAAGTCTTGCCTTGAAACGTTCAACTTCGCCATCTTGATTCTCCTTTACACGAAAAACCCATCGGCACCCGATGGCCTTGCGACCTTTCGGAAGAGGCACGATTTCCCACGTGTCGTTTCTCTGAAGCGAGTCGAACTCCGAGTCACACGCTTCTTTCCACTTGCCGGAGTCGCTTGATTCCATCGCCGACTTGAATGTAGTCGGCGTTTCCCCCACTGAATCAACGATGTAGGCTGCTTCAAAATCCATTGCAGCCGCTGACACATGCTCAAGCGACGGACATCTGTACGTTCTTCGCTTGGGACTTGGAATGACGGTAGCTTTCTCAAGTGATTGAGTGCGCGTGTGTCTCTTGATGTTGCTCTTCGAAGACCTGGTGTCTTCGTTGTCATCGTCGCTCGAGTCCATGTCGTCGTCAGTTTTACCTTCTTCTTTTTCTTCGTCCTCATCATGATCATCAAACTCAACGACACTTGACTCATCGTTGTAGTTGCGCGGACCTTCATCAAACTTGTCTTCCATGAATGTGGCATCGCGACTGATCTTGATCGCTCCTGTTGACACTTCCTCAAATCGATATGACTTCTGGTGTTCGGCGTATCCCAGGAAACGACAGAGTGATGACTTGGAGTCGAACTTCGCGCGTTTGTCTTGAGGCACTTGAACATACGCGTGGCATCCAAACACTTTAAGGTTGGCCAGAATCGGTTTCTTCATCGTCCACACTTGATATGGAGACTTGTCTTGGTGAATGGCACGTGTTGGACAGCGGTTTCGAAGAAACATCGCCGTCATCACTGCTTCACCCCAGTAGCTCTTTCCCAGTCCAGCGTGTTCCATCATGCAACGCGCACACTCGACCAGCGTGCGATTCATTCTCTCAGCTACTCCGTTTAGCTGAGGAGTATATGGGGGTGTGAACCTTTGTTGTATTCCCCGTTCCGCGCAGAATCGTGCCAGCTTGTCGGACTTGTATTCACCCCCATTGTCGCTTTGAAGGTACTTCACGCGCTTTCCGGTTTGCGTTTCGGCCATCGCAGCGTATTCCATGAACTTCGCCGCAACTTCAGATTTGCTCTTGAGCAGATAGACGACACAGTATCTTGACTTGTCATCAATGAATGTCACGAAGTACCGTTTTCCACTGAAAGTTGCCATCGACATCGGTCCGCATACGTCGCTGTGAATCACTTCGAGGAGTTTGGAGGTGCGAGCTGTAGTGTTTGATTGGAAGCGCACTCGAGTCTGTTTTCCCAGAGCACAACCTTCACACACGTCCCACTTCTTCACCGAAGATATGTCGATGCCAATTCCAATGTTCTTCGTCACGATGCAATTGAGTCCATCGTGACCTATGTGGCCAAGCCGAAGGTGCCAGAGGTACGACTTGGTGCCCCCTTGACATCCCGACGACTTGGCTGCATTTGCTTGTTCCGGCGCCACTGGAGTCATTTGCAGCTTGAACAGTCCTTTACCTTCACGGGCACCAATTTTCCACTTGGTCCCTTTCGCTTTTCCATAGCACCCATCCTTCGTGAACGTCACTGGGCCGACATCCTTGGTGAAGCGGCCGACCGAGAACAGGTTTCTGGATAACTTTGGGATGTGCCACACGTTTGTGAGCACACCTTTCTTCATCCCTTGGGGTGTCTTCATCGACATGACAATGTCCCCACTGCCGATTGCTTGGACGATTCCATCATCCGCGAGATGGACATCCACAGCGTCAAACCCCTTGTAGTTCCGCATGAACTTCTTGGAACACGTCATGTGCTGCGTCGTACCCGAGTCGATCAGCCAGATGTCGCTCGATTTCGCAGATGTCGTTTCACCGATCGAAAAGAGGTAGTCGCCCGAGTCTTCTTCTTGAGCGACGTTTGCACGTTGTGATCGATAGCGGTCGCCGCTGTCTTGAGCACGCTGTGGCCGGTGTCTCTCCGTGTTTTCTTGGATGCGCGAGGGGCACTCCGCCATCCAGTGACCAATCTTTCCGCAATTGTGGCACGGCCAGGACTTCTTCACTGGTCGCCCTTTGCGCTGATTGTCCCTTGTGATGAACGCTTGACCTTGCGAAGCTTCATCACCTTTACTTCCTTGCTCCTTCCGCTTCATTTCTTCATGAAGCAGTCGAGACGTCACGAGCTCCCAGCTAAGAGTGTCTGAGCGCGACTCCAAAGCTGTGATCAAGAATTGATACGAGTCACTCAGGCTGCCGAGGAGTGTGATCACCAGATCGTCCTCGCAGACTGGAGCCCCCACCGCTTCTAGCTGTTCCGCCAGCGTCTTGAGCTTGTTGATGTGTTCGAGCACATCGTCGCCTTCTTCCATCATTGTCGTGAAGAAGCGACGGCGCAAGAACAGCTTGTTGGCAAGACTCTTCTTCTCGAAGTGGTCTTCCAACCTTGACCATGCGTCGCATGCACCACTTGCCGACCGGACCAACGGTAGCTGGGAATCTTCCATGGCTAGACAGATCACTGCCATCGCCTTTCTTGACTTCCTCTTGTACGTCGCTTGGTCCAACTGAGTCTCGCACTGTTCCGCCTTGATCTCACCGCTGACGACCTCCCATAGGTCCCGTTCCTCCAGCACCATCTGCATCTTGAACTTCCAGGCGTGGAAGTTAGTTCCATCGAACTTGGAGATGCGGAGGGAGGAGGCGTCCATGGCAGCTAAGCTTGAATTGTTGGCGGTTTCAGAGTCTGACGAACTTGGGCTCATAACCTGATGAACTTTAGACTTCTTGGTCCGAGTGCAAAACGCAAAGTAAATATATATTTATAATAGGTACTTAGTTCGCAACTTTGAATACTACCTCTAAGCCTATTATTCGCAGTGACGTCATCCAGTGACGTCACCCACTGACGTCATGCAATGACGTCATCCAGTGACGTCATTTCCTGACTTCGCCCTTACTGGTACATACCGGTACCCACCGGTATAGCGAAGCTTGGTCTTCCACTTGCTTCAACACTTGACGCAGCTTGACGAGGTGTCTTCTTCACAGCTGCTGTCTTTTCAACATGTTTGCCCTTCCATTCTTGTCAGCGTTTCTCTTTTGCTTATCCACCGCTTCAGCGATGGAATCTTGCACAAAACGGACTACCGTTTCACGAGCCAGGATGAACTCATCTGATGACTCGTTAGCTTCAGTGCGCTGTGAGCGCACTGCAGCAACATCAACCTTTTCTTCAGTGAGGGCTTCCGCACTCTCACTGGCATCATCTTCTTCAATATCGATGTTATCGATATCGGCATCAAACGCAATGACCTCTTCGTCAGAGCGTGATGAGCGTGAACCAAATCGGTTTTTGCTCGCGCGAGTCCCTCCCCCCCCTTAAACCAGAGTTACAATCTAGTAAGGTGGGTACACGCGGATGGCGTAAGCCAATCACGTAAAACGGTGTATGTGTCGTGGACGCATGCACCGAGTTGTTAATGGCAAACTCTACCACTGGCAAAAACTCACTCCAACTCTTGAAGGAGTGTACGTATCCTCGAAGTATCTATTCAAGGACACGATTGGCACGTTCCGTCTGACCATCTGACTCTGGATGATCAGATGTCGACATCTTCAAGCGCGTTCCGAGTGATTTGAGCACGGAACGCCAAAAATCAGCAGTGAATCGTGGATCTCTGTCTGATACGAGTTCACGGGGCAACCCATGAAGTCGGAAGATGGTGTCGATAAAGACACAAGCACAGCCACTTGCCGTTATTGTCTCTGGTACATCCACAAGGTGTACCATTTTGCTGAATCTGTTAAAAAATACAAGAATACCCGTATTCCCGCGTGCGTCTTTGGGTAACCCGAAGACGAAATTCATTAAGATGGATTCCCAGCACTCAGCCGGAACCGGTAGAGGCTGTAAAGGTGCACGCAGTGAAGGACTTGACTTCACTCGTTGGCAGACTTCGCATGCGCGAACATACTTTCGCACAAACTGATACTGGCGGGGCCAGTAAAAGTCTCGACTCACCGTGAGATGTGTTTTTTTCTCCCGGCCACGATGTCCTCCTATAGGAGCATCGTGATACTCAAACAAGATCCGCAAACGCAGATCAGTATCATCTGGAATGACAACACGTGGTGTGTCACCAGAAACGGCTGTATAATACAGTAAACCGTTGCGAGTAGTGTATCGATCTGATGCAGATCGATACGCAGGAGACAATCGTTTCAACGATTCTCGAGATGGTTGGGAGATTTGTGTCAACAACTTCACAATCTCACCATCTTGGGCGTATGCCCGCCTCACATCATCATACAACGTTGTAGATGGGACTGAGGACGTCATACCCGCAACAGTGGCTGTCTCACTGTTGGGTTTCGCGACTGTTTCAAAGTCGGGACGACGTGAGAGTGTATCAGCGACGACATTAAGTCGTCCTGGTTTGTTTTCGACCGTAAAGTTGTATTCTGCAAAGAATGACAACCACCGCGCCATTCGTTGTGAAAGGTGCGGGCTGTTCACTGCCGTGCGTAATGACGCATGGTCAGTGTAAACAACGAAGGGTCTATCTCCTAATAGATAGACTCTGAACTTCGCGAGTGCATCGACCCACCACCAGCAGCCTGCTGCTGTCTCAACAGTTCAAACTGTTGAGCACCCTGTTCTCTCAACATCCTGCTTGTTGAGAACCTTGTTGGTGAAGCAAGGCTACTTTCTCGCGTTCAGCGTCAAGTTCATTTTGAATGAACTTGGCGATAGTAGCATGTTGGGCATCTCTATTGAGAGCCTCTAGCATGACGCTAACAGCGTGGATGTCCATGGTTGAACCCATCCGTTCAACCGCATCCCATTCGACATCGATCAAATGGGAGTAGCCGTCACGCGTCGCATGAAAGCTTTGGTCATCTTCATCATCCAACATATTCATGTTAGGTGTGAACGTGGTCCTTGGACGGACTACGAAGTGCTACCAGGTGTAACGGGGCACCCTGAAGCTTGTACTAGTGACAGTACAAGCTACTTATTCTGATGATAGAATAAGGCGGTGCCTCGTAACTTCACGTACACTCGTACGTGCAGAGGAAGACGGTAAGAAGAAGCGAGTACTTGGTTAGAGTAAAAAGTAGAACTGTATTTATAATAGTTAATGTCTGCAATAAATCACTATTTATCTTCATCTAACTATGTCTAAATACAAATGTGTAAATCAGTTATCTGCTCACCACTCATTGCTTGCGTCTGTCGTGGCGCGTCTTCGTTGGTTGATATAATGGCCTATATCAACCAATTAGGAACTACTCGTAAGTGCTACAGAATATTTGTCCTTTTGACAATATTCTGAGAATAAATCTCTTATAGTTATATTCTGTTAACAATTTCTTATGAATTGTTATGCAACGATTCACCCCGTTACATCACCCCCCCTTAACCATCAGTCACTTTAGTGACTCATTGACTAAATGGATACTCGTCCCAAATCATTTGGGACAGGGTTTGCACTTATGGTCCGAGTCCACTTCCCAACATATCATCGTATGGTTAACAAGCCCATGCGATGCGCGAGCAAGGCCGCCGAGAGCGCGTCCGCACGTCTCTGTGCGGACGCCGAAGCAGAAACCGCTGCAATTGATGTGTCATCGGTTGCTGAAGCGACTCAGCCTGTGTCACTTGGTGATGCAGGTGCTGGTCATGAAGACACTCATGTCTTCACAGAGTATGAGCTCGGTGTCTCGTACTCTCCTGATACGGAAGACGGATCCGTATCGACGGCGATCGAATCCAAGCCGCCCGCCAAGCGTGGCATGGACGATGCTTTGCGCCGCAGCATCTTTGGCTCATCTGATGAATCAGGTGAACCATCGCCGAAGCGAAGGCGCTCGAGGTCGCGAGACTCGGGCGCTAATAGTGGTGTCGGTTCTCCAATGGACACCACTTCACAGCGAGGTGCCAGTACTTCTGTCGGCACGTCGCAGGAAGAGCGGGACCGCAATGGCTTGCGTCTAGCTCCCGAGAAGAAGGCATGGATGCCTCCGAAATCCGTCATGGATCACTTGTCGGCGACGACGAGTGATCGTTATCGAACACGTTTGTTCGATTCGTCAAGGATCCATCACCTTGACCCCAGCGCGAAAAATTATCGCGCTGAGAATGAATTCTTCATCGATGCTTTCTTTAGACATCGATGGTACAGTGGGAATCAAAAGCGTGATGGTCTCTCACTACTTCAAGCGTGGAACGCCTACACCCATAACCTTGAGGATGTAGGTCGTGACGCTTGGAACGACAAACTTATCAAAGCTCGTGATAAGTTTGAAAAGCGAACCCCGACAGGTGCACGCTACAAGCTGCATCGTCTGTCAAGGGAGAAGGGATTACCCTGCCTCTCATGGGGAGACTCGTGCCCATGTTGTGTGAACAACTCTGCACGAGCACCTAAGGAGGCTTACCTCCTTACTAGCCCTTGGTGGCGCGTACGTATCTCTACTGGGATGTACGAAGGGATTGACTGATGAACTTTAGACTTCTTGGTCCGAGTGCAAAACGCAAAGTGAATATATATTTATAATAGGTACTTAGTTCGCAACTTTGAATACTACCTCTAAGCCTATTATTCGCAGTGACGTCATCCAGTGACGTCACCCACTGACGTCACCCACTGACGTCATGCAATGACGTCATCCAGTGACGTCATTTCCTGACTTCGCCCTTACTGGTACATACCGGTACCCACCGGTATAGCGAAGCTTGGTCTTCCACTTGCTTCAACACTTGACGCAGCTTGACGAGGTGTCTTCTTCACAGCCGCTGTCTTTTCAACACTCCCTCTCGACTCGTTAGCTGCGGCACCTTGGATCCCAAGTCGATCGCGAATGTTTTCAAATTGTACAGCGGCGATCGGCTTGGTCATCATGTCTGCCAGCATATCTTGAGTCGGGCAATACTCCAAAACGACTTCACCTGATTCCACCTTCTCACGCACAAAATGGTAGCGTATGTCGATGTGTTTTGTTCTCTTATGGAACTCCGGGTTCTTGGCGAGAGCGATTGATCCTTGGTTGTCTTCATACATCTTGATCGCTTCGTCGCTTGTCATCTCACCAAGTTCCCCCAAAAGCACTTTGAGCCATACTGCTTCTTTGGTTGCTTCGGAAAGCGCCATGTATTCTGCTTCTGTTGAAGATAGCGCGACCGTCCGTTGTTTCTGGCTTTTCCAGCTGATGCATCCTCCGCTCATCATGAACACATAGCCGCTTGTACTTCGTCTTGACTCAATGTCGCCGGCCCAGTCTGCGTCGGTGTACCCGCAGATACGGCTTCCTTCTTCACGTGTAAACTCAAGACCATGATTGGGCGTTGCTTGCAGGTATCTCAGCACACGCTTCAAAGCTTGCCAGTGAGTCGGGCATGGGTCGGACGAGAACTGGGATAATGATCCCACTGCAGCAGCTAGATCCGGACGTGTGGCGACCATGAGATACATGATGCCTCCGACAGCACTTCGATATGGCACGTTGCACATGGTGTCTTCGTGCTTGCATTCTTGTTCACACATGTTCTTGGTTAGCTTCAGGCCGGGATCTTGAGGCGTCTTCACTGGCTTGCTGTTATCCATTCCGAACTTGGTTAACACGGACTTGAGAAACTTGGTTTGTTGTACAGTCACCATTCCCGTCTTACGGTCGTTCTTGATCTCCATGCCGAGAAAGTAATCGAGCTCACCGAGATCCGTCATTTCGAAGCGTTTGCTCAGCGCCACCTTGGTTGACTTGAGGAGTTCGTTGTTGCTGCTGGCCAGGATGAGATCATCGACGTAGAGCACCACGAGAATCATGTCTTGGTCGTCTCGCTTGATGTAGATGCAGTGGTCCGATTCGCACTTCTTGAATCCCATCTTGATCATGAACCCATCGATTGTTTGGTTCCACATGCGAGGCGATTGCTTCAAGCCGTAGAGTGATCTCTTTAGCTTGCACACATAGTCCGGCTGTGTTGCATCCAGGTATCCGTCCGGCTGGTCCATGTAGATGTCTTCGTTGAGGGAGCCGTTAAGAAACGCTGTCTTGACGTCCATCTGATGTAGCATTAGGCCGTACTTAGCCGCCATACTGAGCACCACACGAATCGATGTGAACTTGGCCACCGGTGCGAAAGTTTCTTCATAGTCAACTCCGAATTTCTGTGAGAATCCTTTGGCCACAAGTCTTGCCTTGAAACGTTCAACTTCGCCATCTTGATTCTCCTTTACACGAAAAACCCATCGGCACCCGATGGCCTTGCGACCTTTCGGAAGAGGCACGATTTCCCACGTGTCGTTTCTCTGAAGCGAATCGAACTCCGAGTCACACGCTTCTTTCCACTTGCCGGAGTCGCTTGATTCCATCGCCGACTTGAATGTAGTCGGCGTTTCCCCACTGAATCAACGATGTAGGCTGCTTCAAAATCCATTGCAGCCGCTGACACATGCTCAAGCGACGGACCTCTGTATGTTCTTCGCTTGGGACTTGGAATGACGGTAGCTTTCTCAAGTGATTGAGTGCGCGTGTGTCTCTTGATGTTGCTCTTCGAAGACCTGGTGTCTTCGTTGTCATCGTCGCTCGAGTCCATGTCGTCGTCAGTTTTACCTTCTTCTTTTTCTTCGTCCTCATCATGATCATCAAACTCAACGACACTTGACTCATCGTTGTAGTTGCGCGGACCTTCATCAAACTTGTCTTCCATGAATGTGGCATCGCGACTGATCTTGATCGCTCCTGTTGACACTTCCTCAAATCGATATGACTTCTGGTGTTCGGCGTATCCCAGGAAACGACAGAGTGATGACTTGGAGTCGAACTTCGCGCGTTTGTCTTGAGGCACTTGAACATACGCGTGGCATCCAAACACTTTAAGGTTGGCCAGAATCGGTTTCTTCATCGTCCACACTTGATATGGAGACTTGTCTTGGTGAATGGCACGTGTTGGACAGCGGTTTCGAAGAAACATCGCCGTCATCACTGCTTCACCCCAGTAGCTCTTTCCCAGTCCAGCGTGTTCCATCATGCAACGCGCACACTCGACCAGCGTGCGATTCATTCTCTCAGCTACTCCGTTTAGCTGAGGAGTATATGGGGGTGTGAACCTTTGTTGTATTCCCCGTTCCGCGCAGAATCGTGCCAGCTTGTCGGACTTGTATTCACCCCCATTGTCGCTTTGAAGGTACTTCACGCGCTTTCCGGTTTGCGTTTCGGCCATCGCAGCGTATTCCATGAACTTCGCCGCAACTTCAGATTTGCTCTTGAGCAGATAGACGACACAGTATCTTGACTTGTCATCAATGAATGTCACGAAGTACCGTTTTCCACTGAAAGTTGCCATCGACATCGGTCCGCATACGTCGCTGTGAATCACTTCGAGGAGTTTGGAGGTGCGAGCTGTAGTGTTTGATTGGAAGCGCACTCGAGTCTGTTTTCCCAGAGCACAACCTTCACACACGTCCCACTTCTTCACCGAAGATATGTCGATGCCAATTCCAATGTTCTTCGTCACGATGCAATTGAGTCCATCGTGACCTATGTGGCCAAGCCGAAGGTGCCAGAGGTACGACTTGGTGCCCCCTTGACATCCCGACGACTTGGCTGCATTTGCTTGTTCCGGCGCCACTGGAGTCATTTGCAGCTTGAACAGTCCTTTACCTTCACGGGCACCAATTTTCCACTTGGTCCCTTTCGCTTCTCCATAGCACCCATCCTTCGTGAACGTCACTGGGCCGACATCCTTGGTGAAGCGGCCGACCGAGAACAGGTTTCTGGATAACTTTGGGATGTGCCACACGTTTGTGAGCACACCTTTCTTCATCCCTTGGGGTGTCTTCATCGACATGACAATGTCCCCACTGCCGATTGCTTGGACGATTCCATCATCCGCGAGATGGACATTCACAGCGTCAAACCCCTTGTAGTTCCGCATGAACTTCTTGGAGCACGTCATGTGCTGCGTCGCCCCGGAGTCGACCAGCCAGATGTCGCTCGATTTCGCAGATGTCGTTTCACCGATCGAAAAGAGGTAGTCGCCCGAGTCTTCTTCTTGAGCGACGTTTGCACGTTGTGATCGATAGCGGTCGCCGCTGTCTTGAGCACGCTGTGGCCGGTGTCTCTCCGTGTTTTCTTGGATGCGCGAGGGGCACTCCGCCATCCAATGACCAATCTTTCCGCAATTGTGGCACGGCCAGGACTTCTTCACTGGTCGCCCTTTGCGCTGATTGTCCCTTGTGATGAACGCTTGACCTTGCGAAGCTTCATCACCTTTACTTCCTTGCTCCTTCCGCTTCATTTCTTCATGAAGCAGTCGAGACGTCACGAGCTCCCAGCTAAGAGTGTCTGAGCGCGACTCCAAAGCTGTGATCAAGAATTGATACGAGTCACTCAGGCTGCCGAGGAGTGTGATCACCAGATCGTCCTCGCAGACTGGAGCCCCCCACCGCTTCTAGCTGTTCCGCCAGCGTCTTGAGCTTGTTGATGTGTTCGAGCACATCGTCGCCTTCTTCCATCATTGTCGTGAAGAAGCGACGGCGCAAGAACAGCTTGTTGGCAAGACTCTTCTTCTCGAAGTGGTCTTCCAACCTTGACCATGCGTCGCATGCACCACTTGCCGACCGGACCAACGGTAGCTGGGAATCTTCCATGGCTAGACAGATCACTGCCATCGCCTTTCTTGACTTCCTCTTGTACGTCGCTTGGTCCAACTGAGTCTCGCACTGTTCCGCCTTGATCTCACCGCTGACGACCTCCCATAGGTCCCGTTCCTCCAGCACCATCTGCATCTTGAACTTCCAGGCGTGGAAGTTAGTTCCATCGAACTTGGAGATGCGGAGGGAGGAGGCGTCCATGGCAGCTAAGCTTGAATTGTTGGCGGTTTCAGAGTCTGACGAACTTGGGCTCATAACCTGATGAACTTTAGACTTCTTGGTCCGAGTGCAAAACGCAAAGTGAATATATATTTATAATAGGTACTTAGTTCGCAACTTTGAATACTACCTCTAAGCCTATTATTCGCAGTGACGTCATCCAGTGACGTCACCCACTGACGTCACCCACTGACGTCATGCAATGACGTCATCCAGTGACGTCATTTCCTGACTTCGCCCTTACTGGTACATACCGGTACCCACCGGTATAGCGAAGCTTGGTCTTCCACTTGCTTCAACACTTGACGCAGCTTGACGAGGTGTCTTCTTCACAGCCGCTGTCTTTTCAACATTGACAACCTGAAATCCCTTTACGACCGTGCCGGGAAGAATTTCTCCGGCGGTCCTTCTGCAGCACAGGATGTGCCGCGTCGTACTGCCCAACCAGACCCAGTACGTCGATCATCAGTTGGGAGCGGGGCTCCCAAGTATCCCAGGACGGGGGATAGCCGCGCCACCGGACGAGATAACTCGTCCGACGTCCGTTCACGTCGCGGTGGTTCAACCGCTGCTAAACTAGATAGCGCTGACCACCGCGAGAGTCCTCAAATGGAGGTGGAGGAGGAG